TATATATATAGGCACAACATATCTAGATACATCATCGTTAATTACATATAATCATGCTTAATTATATTTCATTGAGCATATTTCAAATATTTCATGTATAAAACATTTTTTAACGTGTCGACGACTGCAATAACAATACATTATTGCACATTCCTTATATTGTAATAGTGCTATGATGTTTCCTTTTTTCCAGAAGTGGACATTTCAACATTGCTGCAATCTCACGGCAAATAGTGTAGCAACATTTGCAACAATGAATTTGCGATATTGCAATATTGCGGTTGCAAAAATTCCTGCAATGTGTATACAATCTTTGTGCACTGTATCGGATATAGCTTATCGTAAAATTTGATCACCTCCGATCTAGCGGATTATAAGGTATTCACGTAGATGGAAGGCGAATAGAAAGAATATACTACAATGCGGTAAAAATAATAAAAACGCTATGAATAAATAAAATAACGAAGAGTTTATATATGTGAGATTACACATTCAATCACAAAGCGATTATTTTATTTAGCAACTTCATCTTAAGAACAATGACGGGGACCTTTCAGAAACAGGTGTAAAAAGAATTGGAAATCTCGCGTTGTTTTCTTTTTGCAGGATATTACAAGTCGGCTGAATTTTCGATCAAATTCAGCGATGACCGTAATTCCGCCGATTAATCGCCATTATTTCCGATAAAGCAGATGGCCGGAAGTATAGGTCAGCCTCGATGTGATACGGCTCAGGTGGTTATTTATGCAACGTTTAGCGCGACCCGAGGGGTGGCCGCCAAATCTGAGGTGGGAAACCGTGCTTCGGCATTCTGCACCCCTGCATTCTCACGCGAGCACCGCGATACGAGTAAAAAGCTACTTGTGCGACAAGCGTATTATCTTATATGTGTGTGTGTGTGTGTGTGTGTCTGCGATTTTATTGTCAAGTCATTAATAAGGAGGGAACAACGTAACGGCTCCGATAATTGCCTTCCCCTCGCATCAAAACTATTCATGAAATTATACTTACTTACTGAACAGATAGTACACATTCATCACAATAAATTCATAATGAAACGAAAGAACCGCTAATTAAAATGGATTATTCATAATAAGAAAACATTAATTATACATCGCCAGTTTAAAAAATTATCTCTACTGCAGAAGTTTTTTGAAAATTTTGCAAAAATCCACGCTAGAAATTTACTTTAAATATTAAAAGTTAAAATATTAGTATGTCCATCACACGCACCTATTATTAAAATTATAAGTGTCTTATTATAAAAATTAAATAATTTATGTGTTATACATTTATAAAACTTCGTATGTTATCTTATAATTATTCGGCAATGTTTTTCTTTATTAGATCGATTGGATGAGAATGATCGTTGTAGGCGATTTCTCTGCGATACGGAAAAATTAGAGATCCGCAAGGAAGACTTTTTTTTCAAGAATTTGTAATATATTCTATGATCCTTGTGCTTGCCGCGCAGTGAATTCATGATATCAGCATAACGGGAAGCAACGAAGGAGGAAAGAGAAACGGACGTTATTCCTTGAGCCCTTCGACCTCCGACCCTTTGGACTACTATTGCAGTCGCCTGCTTTCGTACATTTCTATACACACATCTGCCTTATGTTCTCACGCTATTTTCCTACCAGCTTAGAGCCTTCCACGAGCACTGTGTACCGCTGTACTGAAATTTCAGGACGGTTACGTACGATCTCGAAATACACGACTAAAATATCTAACGTTAAAATATGAAAAATCGCGAAATCATACGGTTTAATTTAAAGAGAAAAAAGAAATATCACTTATACACCTTAATATTTTCCGAAAAAAAAATCTATTTCGAAATTGTCAAAGAAATCTATTATTAGTATTTGATTAACTGAAACATACTGCTTTATTAATAATTTTGTAGGAAAATATTATCAATGCTCTATTATTGTTATGTGAGATAGTAACTCGGGAGAAAAGTTTTCCATATATAATTATAGATATAATTGTACATAAGCTATCATATATAAAATTGTCTATATATAAAAAAAAATATATGTGTGTGTGTGTGTGTGCGTGCGTGGTTGTAATCCGAAACAAAATAATACAATTATATATAATGTATATATTAAGATACATAACTCTGTATCATTTTCTCTGTACTGTTTTCTCGAGCAGTTTACTGATAGTACGTCTGTTGGTTGATCCAATCTCTTTCAAAACAAAGTTTCCTATTTCACATGTTTACTGATTATTCATTTTAATTACTAATTATTTGTTTAATGCACAATAACGAGATATTAATATTAGGTTGGAACAAAAGTCCGTAGCATTTTTTAATAGGTGGCATTTAGATAATAGAGAAGCGACGATCGTTAGGTGCGATATATGGAAAGCCGCCATTTTATTTCTCCGCATATGAAAGTTTCCTATTTCACATGTTTACTGATTATTCATTTTAATTACTAATTATTTGTTTAATGCGCAATAACGAGATATTAATATTAGGTTGGAACAAAAGTTCGTAGCATTTTTTAATAGGTAGCATTTAGATAATAGAGAAGCGACGATCGTTAGGTGCGATATATGGAAAGCCGCCATTTTATTTCTTCGCATATGACACTAGTGGTCTGTTCTTTTTAGCTACACTGATGCTATAAGTTAGATCGAGACAAAATATTCTTGTTTCAGCAGTGTAGCTGAACATGACCATGGGAGACGTCAAAGCAGCAGGTTGGCCATTCTTGGAAGCTGGATTATAAAAAAGAAAGCAAGTTATTAGAAAATGACGTGTGAACTATAGCTTGGGCTCTTACGGCCATACATTGGAATTGGCAGAAAAGTTAATTGACAAGCTTTAACGATAATACATCCACAGGTGGAAACAACATGGCGCTGAATGATTTAGCTAACCAATCAGACGGTTTTCCTCAATGTCTTCTCTATCATCTATCATCTAAGACTCTACCGTTGTGCTTTTTGAACACAATCATTGGTTGCGTTCGGAAATCACAACGGTTAAGTGAGTTACCTCACTAATTATTATTGGAATATTCTTTTAGATTTACGACGGATATAAAAGAATACTTCAATCAAAGGCGATAATTGGTCAGTTTTCTGAATGTACCCTTCAGTTTTTCAAAATCTATAGTATCATAGTTTGAACTAATGCAACCTATTAGTGCAGTGCAGTTCAGTTGAACAGACCACGAGTCGAGCTGAGGTCGTATGGATTGTCTACTAGTTGGCTTCGACGCTCGACGCTACCATGAAATTGTACCTTTAGATTTTCCTTTATTTTCAAGTTTTACTGTGTTTAACAGCAAATTCGATATTTTTATTTTTACATAATATGAACTTACGAGAAGGAGAGATAGGTCAAGTTCTTTTTATTTTCAAATAGTACGACTCAACGAGATAGAATATTTGTCCATTTTTCATTTAGTGATGAAAACCGGTGAAAAATATCCTTTTAATTTTCTATAATTCTATGAAAGAAAAAGTTGCATTATAATTTATGAATATATAAAAGAGAGAACACTTTTTAATGTAAACGCCGTTTATATATGTGCGATATTTCTTCACGAGATACAATTAAACGCAATTCATCGGAAATTTTAGTTATTTGGCAAATTTTGATTTATATTCCTATATCAACTAGTGAGAAAACTTGATATATTCGAGAACGTATCTCTAGAAATTAGAGGATTTTCTTGGTTGTCAAATATTTCTACACCATCCGATATTATTTTTATCGCATTGTGTGTGACGATCTCACAATTTTCATCTGTTGCAAATCTGTAGCAAAAAAGAAATTTTAACGACGGTCTCCCCACGATTGACGTGATCGTTCTTGCGCGACACGACGTAGTACGACGATTCACCAATCCCCAAGCTCGAAAAATGCCGAGTGTGACTGTCGCGCTTGCCGTCGTTCAGTACCTGCTGTGCATGAAAGAGAACCTTGAAATTACACGGTGAAAAGTCATGACATCGAAAACATTGTGCACGTAGCGACGAAATGAGGCAAATCGTGTCGTGACGTTAAGGAACGTGTCTTGGTCGCCTGAGAAACGCTCCCAAGGTTAAATCCCGTCGATCTATCCATGTATTCAAATGGTTACGATCTCGCATTATAACCTTTTTTGTCACGTATGCATCCCTTGTCATCAGCTGATGAGTTCAACGTAACTGTGCTCACGCGGCAGTAGACAGTTCCCAAAACAGTTCTCCATCCACGATTCAAGAAGAGGAAACGTTGTCATGGCAGATCTCGCCTTAGGAGAGCTCAGCAGCGATCAGACTGAAAAAGTACTACAGTTTCAGGTGCGCAAATGTGCTCTCATGCGGTGGCCTCGTTTTTCTTCACGACTAACGACGTCATTAACTTTCAGGACCTCACCGGGATCGAGGATTTGTCAGTATGCAGAGATGTCTTACAGAGGCACAATTGGAATTTGGAAGTTGCAGTCCAGGTGTTGTATCTTATTTTCTTACATCTTCATCAATATTTTTTGCGGTTAATCTGATAAAGCTCTGTTCCCTCGCCGATAACATCGGCACGTTGACTTATAATTGTTCGATTAAGTGTTTAGATTCCTTCTATATCGACTTTTTATATAGATTCCAATTATAGAGATATCTGCTCGATCTCAGACAATTTTGTATGTTGTAGGAACAACTGAACTTGTATGAAGGCAGACCATCCATGTATGCGCAAGACTCGCGGTCCCGCCCACCGCAGGTTGTAGATGACAGTAGTTCCAGAATTTATTTCAATTATCCCGGTAGCTCTGGCGGAGGCGGTGGTCTCTTGTCTTACATTTTGTCCGTGTGTTACAACATAGTGAGCAGTATCCTACAGCTAGTTTTTGCAATATTTAGGACAAATGTTAGACCTGGTAAGTGGCCCCTGTCCTTGATTATACACTTTTAACAAATCTAAATTGTGGTAACTTCTCTATCTTTACACCTATTGTTCATTTTGATTGAGATCTTAGATCATGTAGAACATACAGATATATAATTATTTTACCATCTCACTAAAAACAATGCAATTATCATGTGATCAATTTAAATATTTTCTCGAAAAAATTGTCCTAGCTGAAAGCAAACATTCAAGTGACTGTTTGCAGAACAAAACAATGTGCATATCTTTCATCTCTGCTTATCTATATTAAAATTATCATTTATGTTATTCTATTTTGTGCTTCTGCAAATTTTAATTTACATTAGTGTATCACTTCTGCAAATTTTAATTTACATTAGTGTATCACTTCTGCAAATTTTAATTTACATTAGTGTATCACTTTTATAATTAACAATTCATTCAAGTCACTTATTTTCTCTTATACTTAGTGTGATATATTTATTATATGTATATATAATCAGATACACTTAATATATTTAAGCTCTAATTGATCTTTCTCTTTTTACTGTGATTTATGATTACAGTACGTAAAATTTTGTTATATTTCCTCTTTCTCATAATAATTTTTAAATATGACAGTAATTATGATTGAAACTTCACTAGTTATTATATCCCTGTACATATTGACTTACAATTCGTGCAATCAACTAATCAAAGCCAATAAATAATAATATCTTCCAAGTGTCCTCCGATCCAGTGGAAGATGTAGTCAACTTTATTAGGTCTTACGAGGAGCGTTACGGTAACATTCATCCAGTATTTTACCAGGGCTCCTATAGCCAAGCTCTTTCGGATGCAAAGCAAGAATTAAGATTTCTATTGGTATATCTCCATAAAGATGAGGCACAAGACATCGATCAATGGTGCAGGTAATTTCTTTTTACAACATCCGAGTTACTTCTCCAGCGGATAACAAAGATATAATCCACGTGGTTTAACGACAATTGTCGTATGCTTTTTTCTTCTAGAAATACATTGTGCGATCCGGAAGTAATTCGATACATAAACACGCACACTCTCTTTTGGGCGTGCAATGTAAAATCTGGAGAAGGCTACAAAGTCGCCGAAGCATTGAAGTCGGGTTCTTATCCTTTCTTAGCGCTGATCGTATTGAAAGACAACAGAATGACGATAGTCGGTCGGTATGTAAAAATATTTGTTGCACTTTAGATATGATATTTGCGCACAAAACGGTAAAATTGCTGTTTCTTAAAACTTTTTTTGCATTCCAAACTCTCCATTTATTTCTTATTAGCAACAATCGAAACGTTTGTAACAAGCTAGTTTGAAAGAAATTAATGTTTCTCCTCTTTGTAGAATGGAAGGTGCACCATCTTCCGCTGATTTAACGTCACGTTTACAAACCATCATAGAACGTAATGAAATTAATTTGATCCAAGCACGCCGAGAAAGGTAAATTAAATTGATTGTAAGACTAATGAATGTCAATACTCAGAAACAAAGGAAATATTGATATTCAGTTCTATACACACACGCACGCACGCACACACGCACACACACAACAGAGAGGGGGCATACATTTGTATATATTTTATATAAGATATGATTCTGATATGTACACATATATAATTAGGGCAGAACGTAGCGCTGCGCAATCGCTTCGACAACAACAGGATCGTGCTTACGAGGAGTCGTTGCGCGCCGATCAAGAAAAAGATCGCAGGAGAGAAGAAGAGCGAAAAGCACGTGAGGAGCAAGAAGCCCGAGAAAAGGAAGAACTAAACGCGCAAGAACTTGAGATTCAACGTATACGACTTGAGAAAGAACTGACTGTTAGTAAAGTGCCCCTTGAACCAGAACCGTCAAATCCTAATGCGTGTCACCTTCAGATCAAGCTTGGAGAAAGGACGATGAAAAGAAGATTTCTTATGACTGACACGGTGGAGGTAATCATGAATATCAAGTGAATTAGAAGTGATCTGTTTGTTGCCACACGTGCATGCAATAAAAAGTATTCCTGAAGTCACCTGCCCATGATTCTTTTTTTTTTTTCAAAAAAATTGCATATACAGATCAAGACGTGTGTGTGTGTGCGCGTGCATGGAAATATAAATTTTTGTTTCTCTTTTCAGGACGTTTATTATTGGATATTTAGCCAACCAGATTCCCCAGCAAGTTTCGAAATAACAACAAGTTTTCCCAGAAGGATTCTGTATCCTTGTAGAGACATTTTGACCCTGTTGGATGTTGGTTTAACCCATAGAGAGGTTCTTCACGTAAACGATCTAGACGATTAATTTTGATCGTTAATTTAAAGATACAGCATTTTTCGAATTTTGGTATCATTCCATGAAAAAAATGATACTGTCATGAGGGACACTTATCAAGAAATATCGATATCGCATTACGACAGCACATACATACGCTACACACATACATGTATATATATAAAAATAATATGTGTACATATATATATGTCGGATATTTCTGAAGTATAAAATCAAATTTGAAAAAAAATTTATTCCATTCATCTTAAAGATGAAAGTCACATGAAGCAAAAAAAATGTATAAATTCAAGCTCATATAAGTTTGTCTCATCCTTACGATGAGCACAATACGTTCCTAAAGTTTGATCATCTATTTCAGAAATATTCTGTTATATATATATACACATACATATATACATACGTATATATGTGTGTGTGTGTGTGTGTGTGTATGTGTGTGTGTGTGTGTGTTTGGTACATTCTAGTATTTTATGTGAGCTACTATAGTTTACTGGAAGAGAAACAGTCACAAGGTAATGTCAGGAGATATACCAAAATGATAGGAATCAAAAAAAGGAATGTCGTATTATTGCTTATTAAAATTACCAGTGTTAACAGATTGGTACAGCTATTCAGCCATCACCGCACTTACCGAAAAATGCATTTCAAATAGTAAAAAACGCGATAGATAGGGATATGTATTAAACATTAAGAATTCATTGTGTAAAGCGATCTCGTAAGCAAAAAGGGAATGTACAACAAAATGTTTCTTTTGTATCTTCCGATTAAACGGTGTGTTGGTATTAAGTGACGATGTTACATGCATGTTACGAACAAATTTCGATACCTGGACAAATTTGAATTTTAATATAGATTTATCCACGTATCTCTTTGCTCGTTATATGTATACACCATGAATTTTTCTGTCTTGTATAGATAAATATTATATATAAAAAAAAAGGGCAAATCATTCTTTAATATGATCGTTACATGTGTAGCACACAATCAGTTCCTCATCGACTAAAGGCGCATACGTTCGTGATATAGTTTAACGAAACTAATATTAACGGTGAATAACGAATTTTATGAATCATAGTGTGTAAGTTCCAACAGAACAAAGGATTTTTATCGACCAATTGAAACATTACAATCTAATAGCATTTATACTATTTCTGTTCGGCAACGAATGATTCCTAACATTGCGACTATCGTTAGTACGTACCCTATGCTAAATGTCTGATGTCTATGTTGTGATGTCAAAAATGTCATCGAATCTTATCGGTTATCAGCCAAACACAATTGTCTCTATTTATATATATATATATATATATATATATATATAAATAGAGACAATTGTGTTTGGCTGATAACCGATAAGATTCGATGACATTTTTGACATCACAACATAGACATCAGACATTTAGCATAGGGTACGTACTAACGATAGTCGCAATGTTAGGAATCATTCGTTGCCGAACAGAAATAGTATAAATGCTATTAGATTGTAATGTTTCAATTGGTCGATAAAAATCCTTTGTTCTGTTGGAACTTACANTTTGTGTTTTATGTTAAGTTTCGTTTTAAGTTCTCCTTTTCTTTCTTATGATATAATACACGACAAATTAATATATTTCAATCCTGATTGCTAAATGTGTTCGCACAGTTGTGATTTATTTTTTTTTTTTCGTTTTCTTTTGAAATGTTACATATTCGCACTCACAGATGACTATGTACAAATTCTCTTTATACCACACATGCAAGTAAGAATACAGGCAAGTTCAAGATGTCCTCAATCATCAAATCAATACAGTATACCAAAGTTGGTAAATTCGGACAACTTTTGGGTAACTTTTCTTATTGATGCTTTGCTCCAGAAGTTTTTGATGTAAATTTGAAATACAATTGGGTATTTACCCCATGAATATCAAATGTCAAGGCCACAACTTTTTCTTACTTTTTATGTACTTTTTATTTCATCAATAAGTCCCAAAGTTGCAAACATTTATCAGCTGTGCGGTATACGAAATAAAATTCCCGTCTCGTGTTTATTGCGCGATCTTTGGAATAAGAGTCTGTATCTTGCCTAATTCGCTCATCATTTTATTTCGGATGTGTTTTAGGTTTTGGTGATGGTTTTCCCTTTTTTCTTTGTGCGTGACTGTGAGCGCGCAGAATGTTGAATACTTTATTATCTAATTTTACATCGAACCCACCTGTATCTCCGGTACTAATACCAGGAGGGAATTGTAATACACGACATGCGTTTAACCGGGAAGACCTTAACATATCGTGCTTTGTGACTATCTGAGAACCTCCTTCCACCTTCTTGTAACCACAACGTGGTATTGAAGCTTGTTCTTTTTCTATGCTCTGGAAAATGTGGAATATATATTTTGTGACAAGCAATACACAAACAAGTCCATGCGATACCTATTTTGTATACAGGATGTATCCCAGCATAAGGGGATCATGACACCTAAATATCTGCTTATAATGATACGAGAAATCTGTTTGGAGCACAATTTGAATGGTTTCGAATACCATAGAAGGGAAATTTTTTGTATGGTCATTCCTTTCGATTGCTTTTAAGATCCCCATATTTCCATGATATTTAGTTATTGTTCTCCTTACACTGGGACACCCTGTGTACATACGTAAGGTATACGAATTTAAAAACATGCATATGTCTGTATACAGACAGCACTTACGACAAAACGATCAAAGTCCCTGTTACTGCTGTCAGAGTGATCAATGTTATCTTTATCCTTGATGTCATATGAAGATGTTCGATAATTAGTGTACGAGATACCCACTAAAATAAGGAAAATAATTTAAAATAATCACTTGAACAGAAAACAGGCCATTATGCTCTTCATTACCTTTCGAATCACGATTAACTTTTTCTTCCATACGCTTTAGCATCATGTCATGTTCTTCATTGAATTGGTGTTGTAATATATTTGCTATTACCTCATCGTTATCAGCATCTACATCAACATCTTCATCCTTATGTTTGACCGCCTGTATTGCACTTCTATTATCCTCACTTAAATATTTGTTTAACTCCCTAGCATGATATCGAAGTAACTTTAGACACAAAATTATAGAAAGTGTTAATCTTATATATATATATATATAAATATAATATATATATATATAAATATATAATAAATTCAAACTCTCTTTGAATGTCAAAAACTTTAAATAATAACGGAAAGTAACAATGCACGCGCTTAGGCACGAATGAAGGCATAAATCAAAGTATATATGCATTTTATAGTCCGGCAAATCTTACGACGGTGAATAGAGTCCTCGCAGTACATAATTATCGGACGCAGACAATTTTACGAGACTCATGTAAAACTATACGACGTCCGTGACACTCACATCTTTCGCATTTTCACATCGAGTTGTTCGATTGTAATATCCGACAAATTGAGAGGATTTTCTACAGGTTGTATCTTCGCCCAAGTCTTCGGAATTGCCATTATTTCGGTCAAATAGCGTCCGTGTTTTCGGTGAAAAGACGATTCTTCAAGACGATAATGTATGCGCGCACGATTGAACACAATGCGCGGAGGTTAAGGATATGACACAAGAAGGTGCAACATCCAACTCGGGCTCACCCGACTGTGCGCACGTGAAAATGCCATTGAGAAACGTTCGTTCGTTATATCACTGTGACGAGATACTGTGGTGAGAACCAACCTCACAAGAGTTGCGACTGTCAGGTAGATCTAGATCTGAGCTAAATTTATAATAGTGTATATACGATAAACCTTGAGCGCTCACTGTGCTCACGTTGTCGTTGATTTATTGGATGCACTCGACATTTAGTTTGCGATCACAGTGTTTTAATTTTACGATTTATTATTATCCATTTCTTTTTCTCGGGTTTTTTTTTTCTGCACAGATGGTATAACCGAATGATTGAAACAGTCGGTCATAACGTCACGTCGGTAACGCTCCAAACTCTGAATACTTATATGTAACGTTTTCAAACACGTAGTTCTTAATGTTGTATACAACGTTATTGTTAACAATATTTGACCGAAATATTAAAAATATTCTTACACCATAATTGTAATATTTAGGAATATTACATTATCAAGTAATGTTTATAAAATTCATATAAAATTAATATTTCAAAAGATTGACTTAATGTTTCTTGCTTGCTGGATATTTCTTAAGGATTACTTTCCCGTACATATCTTCAAACAAACGAACGTTTCCTTGCTGTTTCAAAAGCAATAAAGATATCCAATTGATGCACGATATTCAAGTGGTAACAAGATGGTACAATATATTAAATAGACTAAATTATATTAAAATAATAATTATACCGCAATATATTGTGCATATCTCCAATTGCTGCAATTGCCTCAGGGATTGCACGCGCACAAATATATATATACACGCACACACACTCACACTTCTAGTTATTATTAATTTATTCCAGTAAATCTAATACATACACAAACGATTTTTTTTGTAATGTTTTGTAGTATTCCATCGCTTCCCTCAAATTGTTCTTCAAATTCCATAGCTAAACTTTAAACTAATCTTAAAAACTTAGCTATGCCAAAACAATGATTTGGCAAGTTCGCATTAACGAGAAAACAAAGTAGATCCTAGTTTCTGAAACAGGTAGAAAAGACTGAACAATACGTATGCTTATTTAAGGTAGTCGGTATCTGTTACAATTGCATTTAATCGTTCTAAAGTAATGCATGGGGCACGACGTGTCTCTCAATTTACAAGTCTAGTGCGAATGTATTACTGAATGTTTTCTTTTTTCTTTTCTTTTTTTTTTTTTTTATAAATACGATGACAATATGTACAAATATTATTAATATACGTGTACACATGGATCACAAGGACAGCTTCTAGATTCGTTATTTGTAACTATGCAGGTGTCGAAATGCATCGTTTCAAAGTTGTCGATCTCAGAGAAGATAGCATAAAAGAAAAATCCATTTACAAGAAGTGGTAAGTAGCTTACACTTTCTTCTAACAAAAAAGAAAAAAAATGCATTCGAAAGAAAAAGGAAGAAGCAAAGAATAATCCATTTTCTCAATAACGTGATTAATATCGAGATAATTTTCCAACATCATAAAACGACAGAGAAAAACGAATCTGCATCGTATTCGATTATATTACCCATGCATTACAATAGAATGCATCACGCGCTATCTCTTTTGGAGTGGATTCAAACGTAAAAAGGGATGGCCAATAAGAATCTTATCGTAGTTATATATCGGCTCATAATAATCATGTGCTGTAGTATAAACAGTTAATTACTCAGCAATAGATCGGACACCGATGTTTCAACCGATTTGACACTATTCGACGATTGTATATATGAGTATCGATTAAGAATAAAAAATACAAAAATGAGTATGTCAAATTACGAACATGTACGAAACAAACATTACTTACACAGATTCCGTGTAACACAGGTTTGTTTTCCTGTTGAGTTGTTCTATCCAAATGAATAAATTGGCAGTAATTATATCAATATCTAGTTGTTGAGTAGTTAAATATTTGCCACATGTGATTAATGCGCACTGAGATAGCTGCGGTAAGATCCTTGCTCACCAAACTAACGTTTTTACATTCAAATCCGCCTTCAAAAGAGCCGTATTTTAGTGTTTATAGTTGTCGCTTTATTTTTTCTTTCAACGGCATTGCCGAATGTCAGTCTTGACTAAAATGATCGCCGTGGACTTACTGCAATGGACACATATGATCGTTGCATCGTCAAAAAAAAAAAAATATCTCGAAATTGAGGAAACCACAGCAGGCCTTAAAGTATCGTGAATGTCTGAAAGTTCCGTGTGTAAACTATTGTCGCGAATTTCGCGAATAAATTACAAGTGACAGACTACTCAAAGTAGCGCACCTTAAGACAACAAAGGTAAAAACTCGAGCATATTAAACTAAAGGTAAATTTAAATAGATTTAAGTAAATAACGTGTGGTTCACTATTACATGCAATAGATTAAATTCTAAAGAGAGAAAGAGTGAGAGAGAGAGAGGGGGGGGAGGGGTAAGAGAGGGAGAGAATATATAAATCATATTCTTAAAAGATACTTAAAGAGATAATTAATGTCGCTTCCTATAAAGAACGCATATATAAATACAAAATGTGAAATCTCGAATCTAGATGCCGAATGTACACGTAATAAATACAGAAGTAATGCAAATTCGATTGTAAAATATTTACGTCTTCACTTGGGGCATCTCTTCGTATTCTTTTCTAGAAAAATTCAGCTAAAAACTGCAATTTACGAAAAATAATGTTACAGCGCAAATGATTCTCACTGGATAGTTCAATTTGCGCTATTTTGTGTCCATGTTTGAGCCATTGTATTCCAACACTTAATATTCAGGCTGCAAAGTAAACAAAATTTAGTTACACAAAATTAGTCATGATACATCGAGAGAAACAATTATTCCAACAATATTATCATATTACATTAGCACGATTGTTTTATTAACATTTTATTACAAGAATAAAAGAATGTCTACATGTAAAAGCGCGACAAATGGAGAGCACTCTCAATTAGATCCTAAGTGCAATAAAAGAAATAATTTGAAACGTCTAATCAAGCATATTTTAAAAGTATTTAAAGATGTATTGCCCACAAGTCGAAATAACGGAAAAAAAAAATCAAAGTCTGCATCTACATTGTATTTAAAAGTGATACCAAAAGTTTGTATGTAATAATGCAAATGTCAGATAAAAAATTATTCCATTTGAAAGGAGATTGTACAGTAAAACGACTTTAATAAGAATTCGATGAAACTTGCACCGCGTATACATTGAAATATTACCTAATTCATTGCTCGTGCAATTAGAAAAAGATTCACCATTCGAGGGCTGAGATATTTGTGAATAAAGTTGACATTATATATACATACATACATACATACATACATACATACATACATACATACATATATAGTGTGTTCCTTGAAAAATTAGCGTGCTATTTTGAATATTTTCTAAACTAAGATTTTTATGAAAAATTGCTGCGGTGTTAAAAACTAATATACAAATATTATATATGCAAATTTCAGAATTATTGACTATTGTTTTGAAAATACAGTAAACAATTCATAACTTATACTCAAAATATAATATATTTATACATATGCACATATTGAAGCACTTTTATATACCTTTTTCTACTATGCCTGTCATCTCTATTCGATCAACTGATGTATAAATATAGAATTAATAAGAGAAAATAACATTTTGGTATTTATAATATTGTGTGTCTACCTTAATTTCGTTTCAAATTAACATTTATTATATATTTACGTAATGAAATAAATGTATAGGAACGTAATTTTGCTTGACAGATTTGTGAGTGACCATTGAAAATACGGCACTAGTAGTGGACAATACATACTTAAAGAAACCATGTGCGCGCTTAACTTTTAAAATAAAATATTACAACTGTTATTATTGTTCTAACTAAAGTTTATCGCTACAAACCTGTGAAACCTTGCGGTGGCTGGCCTGGTACTGAGTATTGTGGTCGAAAATTGCCGAAATTAGCGGCGCCTGCGAAAGTGGCCGGTAACTGTCCTCCTGAGAAACCTGCCGGAAACTGTTGTGCCAGTAACGCCGCCTGACCTGACTGAGTGCTGCTTCCGCCAGGTGCTGTAGCTGCAAGTCGGCTTAGTATTGACCTCTCCGACATTTGCAATCTTTGAGCAACCGGAGGAATACGAGCCAGTGTGGCTGGTAAACGGCTCACGTCTGATTTCATATCAGAAAGCAGTTCCTCCAACTGATTTAACACCTGTACAAAGCAATGCATATTTGTATCATTAATCCGCCGTTTCAAATCACACATGAAACATGTGCCGGGTTGAGATTAAAGCTAATTTTGTTCTTTTTCTAAAATGGATAGTGTCAATGCAGATGGTGGAAGTTCGATCGTTATGAGATTGCTTCCCATTCGGATCAACCTTACCTTATGTAATACAGCATTTGCGGGCTTATTTCCAGCAAGACTCTCCTTACTAAGATGTTGGTGAGACTCTGCGAGACACTCAACCTCGGCAAATCGCGCGTTGAGACTCATGGCGGGATGATTGGGATCCTGTGTTAGATTCAGATAGGCAGCCCGCCTCAACTGTTCTTCGATTACCAACGCCTGTTCCAAGAGCTTGAAACGTCTCGCGAGGAACTTGTTCTTTATCTCCAAAAAGTTCCCTTTTCCCACGTCCATCTTAAATGGTTCATTGATGATTGCAAATCTGTAATAGAGATGTGAATCATCGATTTGATGCAATCATTGAGGTAGGTATCACAAATAATAGTAACATAGTTGGAAATATTCCCAATATCTTGAAATTTCCTACAGCGATTTCGAGTGTGCAAGAATTAATACGTCTAACACACACACACGCACGCACGCACGCACGCACGCACGCACGCACACACACGCGCGCGCACACACACATCTTATTTCCCAACTTGAAAAATATACAAAATATATATTATAGACAGACAAATCTAAACTTCTTTAAAGACACAAAAATTTATATCAGTCCGGATCCACAATAATAGATGTAAACTTCTAGCCCTTTTTTTAGCTTTTAAACAATAAAATGTAATTTTTGATAAAGGACGTTTCTCGCGCTACCAAAGGTGGCAATAACATTTAAATTTTAAGAATTTCAACAATTGGTAGTGTTTGAAAACCCTATTCTGCTAAAAATTACGTAACAATTTTGCGCTTAAAGGAAAAGAACGAAGTATCTTACTACGCCTATTGTAGATCCTGATTTGAATTAATCGGTTTTTTGAGATTTCAAAGTAATCGTTTTGAATATGCATCATCCTTTATACATATATTCTGGATTCTATACAAATGAAGAATTATAATTCCAAGATACAGAATTATCGTTATGCTTATCGGAAAATTCTATTACCGAATATCATTCTGTATGTCCTGCCAACGCCCGTAACCATGCGTGACAATACCAGCCAAGAGCCAATAATCGTGACGACGATGCCAGATTTCGTAATCGCGGCCTGGAACGGCAGCTTTCTCCTCATTCAGCCAGAGCGTATGCAGTTCCGTGAAGCCACCATCGGCAATGTTAAACATGAATTTGCGCTTAGGCTTAATCACATCTGCATCCGAGTCCTTGACATCTTTCTCTTTGTTATCTTTCTCCTAAAATGCAATGTATATTACATATCTGGTTTAAAATACGCGTTTATTAATTTTGCGCAAACAGTAACAAACCTCTCGTTTCTCAACTTCCTCTTCGTCATCCTTAACGATAACAACGTCCTCCTCGGATTCAGTTTTAACCTTATTCTCACTATTCTCCGCTTTATCGTCATGCTTTGCTGCGGCCTTTTCATCCTTCGTGTCAGCTTTATCCTTATCAGCAGTCTCCGTCTCAGCGTCCTTCTCCTCTTTCTTAACGTCCTCTTTCTCCTTATCTTTTTCAGAACTCGTTTCATCGTCTTCCTTAGAACTCTTCGGATCTTCTTTAGAATCCTTCGTGTCACCACCCTGAAGCAAACGATAATTGTCGCATATTTACGTATAATATACCGAGTGATATCGTCGATTTTTACAAAGATACCACCATTCAAATATATCTAACCTCTTTATCTTTCGATTCATCTCGACATTCCTTAGCTTCAGATGAATCAGAATTCAGAGTTTTGTTAGTCTCATTGCCCGTGCCGGATGTCGGAGTTGGGGTGGCGGCAGGGCTAGGACTAGGAGCATTCGAAGTGGCCGGTGTAGCGCTAGTGCTACTGGTACCGGTGGCTGCATCACCGACTCCTTCACCAACCTTCACAGGTTCTACTGGCTTTCGTATCATCTCCGGCATCGAATAATAACCATTTATGTGTTCAAACTCTTGCACCTATTTCAAATAATACGTACTCGCTTGCATAATTGAAGCAATTTAAACATTCGTTGTGCATATTTAGAAATCGGTACCTTCTTTCTGATTAGAGACATCACGCCGATTCTCGTTAATACGTGCTGTCGACTAAGACCTTCTCGCGGCACACCGTCTGCGAATGTTTCCGCATTATCGGCACCTGGTTCGCAAAGATGTCGCATAAAGAGCGATACGTAGGCTTTGAAATTTTTCTCAGATTTCCCACGCAAATCGCGTACCAACCTAAACGTCGGATATCGAAACATCAGCGTTGTTACAATTATTATTATGATGAAACGATTAAGTGGCCGCAAATTTCGACTTCACTATAATGCTAATTAACAATGTGTGTGTGTGTGTGTGTGTGTGTAAGTTCCATTAAAATGGGACATATTAATCCCATATATCATCCTTGTAAATATATTTGTATGTGTCTAGTAATCTTATAATAGTAACTGACCATTGAGAATTAAAAGCATCTTGCGGTGGCATTCCATAGCGCATAATCGCATTAAGAAACGCTTTCCGTTGTCTCGCATTAAAACCGAGTACCTGTAGATGGAATACAAGTATAAGAAAAATACAACAGCCTTACATACGTATTCTGGACAAATGATACCAACCTCGATATTTCCGTTTACTCTTGCAAGCAAAGGCGGCAATGGTCTGTCCTTCTCGTCGCGTCTCTCCAGCCTTCGTCTACTTCTGCGCGATAACAAGTCTCCGTCGCCTTTCTCGTCAAAGTCGTCGTCTTCTTTGTCATCGTCGCTAGGAGCGCTAAAGTCGCTATTATAATCCGACAGATTTTCTTGCCATGGCTGGTCGTCTCTCGCTCCTTGGTCGCCAGCTACACCACCGTCAGTATAATTGACTTGCTTCCGTACTCGTTTGCCTGTAATATAAACATATGATGTAGTGCACGAGACAATATCATTGCAAAAAGTGACGAAATGTTCTCTCTAAGCGTATGGACGTGAGGCATTTAATGCGTCAATAAACGAACAAACCTTTGCCGAGTGTTCTAGCAATATCCTCCTGTTGTTGCTCATAATGGTGTCTAAGCAGCTTGATCCAATACGCTGGATCTGTATTTTCCGCTTCCTGCTTGATTATCTCTGTATCTGCCTCCTCTTCCGTCTCCCCTTCCTTCGTCACGTATGAGGCAACCTTGAAGGAACTTAAGTACTCATTGGCCCAATTCTCCTTCTGTTCGATACCTTCTTTACTTCTATCTAGTAATTCAGCGACAGCCTTGTCGTCATAATGAATAGCTTCGTCTTCCTTGCCCTCCTCTTCCTTAAATAATTCTTCCGTACCTGAAACGAGATGATGAGCATTTCATCAGCATTTATCGTATTAAATTTAAATAGAAATCGCGTCAACAATCATTGACAGAAAAAATGTATTTTATATTGTTAAATTTTATACCATTACACTTTATTACATATATCAAATGTTATCATATACTGTGGTTAAGACCTCGCCATATTGGTTTGTGACGTCACGAGGCGAGAAATGACATGCAGTAAGTTTTTTGCGTTACACAGCTTTATTTTCTCGCAGTTTTCCCTAAAAAAAAGAACCTAATAGTTTCATAATCTTGTAAAATACGCGATAAACTGCGTGTCATTTTCATCATCTCTATAACGTCATACTGACCAAAATATAACTGCGGCAAGATAACAGAATCTTGATGGAGTAATTTCATTTTTCAATATTTCGATATTCTATATATAATATTAAAACATTGTAGAGAAAGATAGTATTAACAAAAATGTTTATTTTCAAGTCTTTTATCTCCCTCCCTGAAGTTTGTCGATCGGTAATTTTTTATACGTGTAATTGCACTCTACAACATATTGTACAACAAGAATAAACGCACAAGAACGAACTTACCAAACCGTAAGATGTCGTCAAGCTCCTGCTTGCTGAAATTAGCGCCTTTGCCGCCCATGCCCGGTCGCACAACCAGATGAGTGAGCATCATCTTACGTTTAGCTACCTGCGTTACTCTCTCTTCTACAGAGTTACGCGTGACAAATCTATAGATCATAACTTTGTTGGCCTGTCCTATTCTGTGAGCTCTGCTGAACGCTTGGATATCATTGTGTGGATTCCAATCTGAATCATAAATGATTACGGTATCCGCCGTTGCTAAATTGATACCTAACCCACCGGCACGAGTGGAAAGCAAGAAGACAAACTGCTGCGCGCCTATAAAAGAAAAAAGTTTAACGTTTAGAGAGAGAGAGAGAGAGAGAGAGAACAGCTTTCTAAATATTATGTCACTGTATATTAATACGCCGTGCATGTGATAAAATCCATATAGATTAAAGACAAAAATCAATTTAGTTTATATATTTTGCAACTCATCGTGCTTATTTACAAAAAAAAATGTAATAGGAGCTATTATCTCGTAGGTTCGTCCAAATAATGTGTGGAATCATCTCAGAGATACTTGCCAGGAGCATTGAACCGATCAATGGCCTCTTGACGTTGCGCACCCGTTATATTACCGTCTATTCTCTCGTATTTGTATCCTTCGCCCTCTAAATAATCCTCAAGAATATCCAACATCTTTGTCATTTGAGAAAATATAAGGACTCTGTGTCCGTCATCTCGCAATTTCTTCAACATCTTGCTGAGTAAGACCAATTTTCCGGCTGCTTTAATTAACGCCGATGTCTCGTAACTCCCATTTGGTCCAGTCGGTGCCTCTTGCGATGCAGCAGGAAATAAATACGGATGATTACAACATTTCTTGAGATCCATCATTATATTTAACAATGATACTTGTTGACCACCACCCTTGGGATTCAAAGCTTCAAAGTTCCTCGTTAATATATATTTGTAATATTTCTTCTGCATCGGTGACAATTCAACTCGTACAATGAATTCAGATTTACTAGGCATATTCTGAAAAAGGAAGGGAGCATATTTACGTTATAATAATACCACCAGAATTGGGCATTATTCGAATAAATTCTTATTTAGTGCGTTTAAAATTTTATCAATCACTTGCATTATTGACGTGTCTGTAATTATTCGTTATTTACGTTATTCGTCGTCATTTATTCGCAAGCATCCTGTATGTGAGAGCTCGTTATTATTTAATAGTATACACGCAATCATTATCCCAGTAATATTAAAAATATTTTTTTAGGAAAAAATTATTACCTATTATTTATAAATGGAGAAAAACAGAGTGATAAATAGCGAATAAATTATTTATACGCATTCATTTAAATATCATTATTTGATGATTTCTGAATAAAAGTATTATAGATTTATTATTATTTTAAATAAAATTTGCTCAAGTCTGCCACACGACATTTAAAAAACATAATTTACATCTAAAAATGTATATAATTGCTGTCGTTAAAATATTCATACCTTCAGTACGTCAGCTTTCAATCTTCTCAACATGTGGGGGCCAAGCATTTCGTGCAGCTTCTTGACCTGCTCTTCCTTCGAAATGTCAGCGAATTCGTTTTGGAAAGCTGCGAGATCGTTGAATTTGTCGCGACACAAGAAATTCAGCAAGTGAAACAGTTCCTCCAAGTTATTCTGCAGCGGAGTCCCAGTCAGCAAAAGCTTATACGCAATGTTGTAGGACGCTAACAATCTAAAGAACTTGGACTGGTTTGACTTCAATCTGTGTGCTTCGTCAACGACTAAAACGGCCCAATCAATTGAACCTAGGCATGCGGAATCTATCGAGATGAGTTCGTAGCTCGTGAGCAGAACGTTAAATTTGATCGACGACGAACGAATCTTGGAAGCGCGTCCGCTGCGCACAGCACCCTCTTCGAACGACAACTCGTTTTCACGAATCACAATACGGCTATCTTTGTCACCTGTACCGATAATCAGTCATTATTAATATCTGCTGTCGCAAAAATGTCAAGATACAAAAGAAAAGTCTACTAACCCACATAAGTGACACAGTAGAAGTCCGGCGCCCAAGTCTCGAATTCACGTTCCCAATTGATAATGGTCGACAGAGGGACGGAAACCAAAAAGGGACCTTTACAGTGGCCTTCCTTGTACAAGGAATACAAGAATGTAATAGTCTGAATAGTTTTCCCTAGACCCATTTCGTCGGCCAATATTGTATCTATACCCTGACCCCATGAATATCTCAGCCAGTTTAAGCCCTGCAAACATCACGATAGTCAACGATGAAAATTGATAAAAGAGAATTGAGCGCGCATCAATTTTATTTTACATTCCCTCTCTCCGTGTGATTTTATCGAGCTACTTCATAACTTTGTTTCAACTCGACTCAAAAACATTAATTTGAAGCTATGAAACAAAGTCATGAAATGCCAGACGCACTGACCACATAAAAATAGCAAGTGAGATTTCAAATAGACCAAAGCAGCAGAGTTAAATTTGCCATGGATCTAAAAGAATCGCCTCAATGAAAGGCGATTTTCTCAACGCACTCATCGCGGCATATTTACTACCTCCAATTGATAAGGATGCAACTGCATCCCGGTTTGGTCCAAATATTCCGGCTGTCTCTCGTACTTCTTCTTGAGATCCGTCGTGGGTTTATCCGGCGGTGGCGTGTACCGCTTCGGCGTTCTCTCCTCATCGTCAATTATCTCGCGCGTCTTCGATTTCTTGCCTTTTCCTGGATTGCATTCCGTTTCTTTGACAAGTACTTTGCGTGAATAACGAGTTCAAATCGCGACACTCACCCTTCTTCCCTTTGCGTGACGAACTACCATCGCAACAGTTCGCCGCTCTCAGATCCAGATAATACTCTATGGCCTGCTTCAAGCCCGGTATGTCCTCGTGCTCATCTTCCCATGTCGCTTGATCGTAGCCGAGTTCCCGCCACTTTACGAGATACGTGGCCCTGCCATCCCTCTGCAATCGATGATTGATCACTCTGTGAACGACCAACCATTCCGGACGCACGCCGTAACGGTAGAATCGTTCCTCCAAATTGTACTCGTCCCTGTTGGTGGCACCATCCTGTTCCTTCAATCGCTTCACACGGGAATCGCTTTCGTCCAATGGCTCCTCCAACTTTGGTGGCTCGTCCATGTCGTACTTGCGATAGTAATTCCTAATCACGCAGAAAAATGTCCGATCACACTCGTGTGTGAAACATAGATGCTGGATTATCTACCTGTACATAAGTGGATGAAAAACGTCAAGCTGCAATTCCGTTATCCAGTCGCAATGCCAATAGGACATGTCCGCCCACTTGACGAAGAATTCGCGCATCTTCCTTTGCTTAGGCGCAGCCTTGCTCGTGGAAGGTTCTTCCGACGGAGTTTCCGAACATTCCTTCCATCTCCACGTTAAGATTTTTGCAACTAATTAACATAGATTAAATTTTACTAAACACACACACACACACACATATATTACGGTTATTTACGCAATGATATATCAATACGATTTTATCGAGTTCACAGATTTGGACACTGCAAACTAGATACGCAAACAAAAATGATGATTTTTTTAAAGGGAATGTCGACAACGCAATCGTTAAGTTCGATGTTTACAGCGATTCGTTCAGTTCTCGAGAAATCAAGTTGCTGAATAACAATGAACTTACCTCTCCCTCTTAACGGTGGGCAAGAACATCGAGGACATTTCCAATCGCCATCGGGAATCTCTGATAACGGAGGATTCAAGCAATGCGTATGATATGCGCTCGTACAACTGTCGCAGCACAATAATTCACCACCGTCTTTGCACACTCTACAGAATTCCATGTGCTCATCATCGTCGTCCGCTGCACCTGACAAACACGTGAACACAAGTATAGTTCATATCATTCGTAAGACGATAAGTCGAAGGGTAGCTTGGAAAGAATCAAGTTGGTGGTGCGAGAGAGGTACGGGTACCTCTGCAATACCTTCGCCTTCACAGTGGGGACAACTCCATTTTCCTTCCGGTGTTTCCTCTAGCTCGGGCTCCAAGCATACCAAATGGTACGCTCTGGGACACGTGTCGCACAAAATGATCTCGCCGCCTTGCTGACAAACCTCGCAATAATCTTGGTGGTCAGTCTATAAGAAATAAAATAAAAACAGTTATTCTAAAATTGACTGGAATCTCTCTGCGAGTCTGATTGGGTGAAAGAACTTACAGGGAATGAAGAGAAAATATTTATGCGAAGGCAAAATGATTGTTAAGCATACTTAAAGCATATTACATATGTAAGGTATGTAAGTATTAAAAATCAAAAGGAATTATTCAATCTATATGTGAAGGAAATTTAATATCAAATAGAGGAAAGTTGTGGTAAGAATAGTTAACTTGAGGCAGAGTTAGACAACGTAGCGTATGCGTTCTCAGTTTGTATTCGATTTGCAATTGAATATATCTATCTGAACAGAGATATGGTGTGTGTTTACCCCTCTGTATTTATATATCTCCCTATAGCAGAATTCTATTTCGTTATATATTATCTGCTGCTTTCATAAATCTCAATATCTCGTGCAATAATATATTTTGCATATTGGGAAAGAAATAACCAAATGATGTGCTTTTAGTCACATCAATGAGCTAATGCCATATCGGATTTGCGAAAGAACCTTCCAGCTGTTGCGACGATATTAACAAGCATAATGATTGAACATGCGACTAGCAAATTAATAAATAAATTTCCGCAAGCTTTTTAGTAGTGTGTGATGAAAATTATTATTATTATTATGACACAATCCATGATTACAAGCACGTTTAAAACAGCGAACGCATAAGCAAATGCTGTTTAACTCTACCTGGAGACCTTCCTCTCCGTCTGGGAATTTGGAAGTGGTTTTCGTCTTCTTCTTTTTCTTGGTCTTATTCCCGATTTTAGTTTTCGCCTTTCTGCGAACCGGCGGCTCGGCCGGAGGCTCGACGCCACTGTCCTCAACATTGCCTTTATTATTGCCCTCGGCACCGGGAGTCTCCTCCGCGTCGGCTAGCATTTGCTCAAACTCCATATCGGAATCTCTATCAGAACCTGCCGCGCTACCTTCCGCCTCCTCGTCCTGAAAGATATTTCTGTCGGTTTACAGACAAATACTGATTTCGAAGAAAAATCGAGGAATAAAAACAAAATTATTGTGCATACCGAGCTTCCTCGTTTACGTTTTCCAAGCTTAATCTTCAATGTTGGTACTTTGGAAGCCTTTTTCCCTTTTTTCGCCCTCGAGCCTCGTGATTTTCTTTTTCGATCACTGTCCTCGTCATCTTCCTCCTCATCTTCAGCTTCTTGCATAGCACCACTACGATTCGCCCTGGCATTTCTGCTATCATCATCTACATTCGTAGACGAAACGTCCGCATCCGGTTGCGTGTGTGGGTTTAATTCAGAAAAATCGCGCCACTTAGCTGCCACTAACATCATTAGTTTCGACATTGGAACCTAATTATTCGAACAGACATTGCAATTCAATATAAAATTGTTATTCAATCAAATGCGATAAATCGTACCGCATATAATAAAGAACAGGTATAGCTGATACGGCATAAAGGATCATCACACATAAGAAATCATACGTACTTTCGGGTTCTCTTTCGCTAAGAGTGGTCTGACATGTTGTTGAAATAGTTTGTACGTCGTTAGGTTTTGGAAGTCAGCTTCAGAATACTCGATATGTACATCCGTTAAACCGAATGTATTGCACACTTCTTCAATTGTGGGCATGCCTGTCGTAGGTTCCTGGCTCTGAGTGGTTGGTGTATTATGACTGGATGATTTTCTCGATGACGACTTTCTACTCTTCCTGTTGACTGCATAATCACTATCTTCGCCGGCTGCGTCGCCAGCTTCACCACCACCAAAATCACTTTCCTACAATGTTGTGCAATATATATTAGATAATATGCAAAAGTGACATGTAGGAGATACAAATCTGAAAAATATGAAAATATAAAACTAAATATTTCCATACTTTTTGTGTTCTTTGAAGAATTGAAAATTGACAAATTAATCTTTCCAACTTTTTTTCTTTAATTTGATGACACTAATGCCTTGGGATGCATTCATCTCATTATTATTAAAACGAAAGAAAAAGGGCTTTATTTTCAAAGTAAAAACGATTTTTAATTTTTTTATAATAAACAATGTTTCCATTAATTTGCAATATTTTTCGAATTTTTTTCATAGATTACATTAGTCGACAAAAATTGTGCTATCTTTTTTTCTCACAAAATATAACTATGGAAGATCCTCATATTGCATATACATACATATTGCATCTACTTCATTTTATTCCCAAAAATCATCATAGTCAGATGTACATATCAATTTGCGACATACCCTCATGTAATGTATCATATGCACTTACATCTCCGGAATCAGATTTTTTCTTTTTCTTCTTTTTCTTTCCCTTTTTGTCCTCACTACGCGCTTTCCGCTTTTTACCTTTTTTCTTTTTTCTCTCTTCTGGCTCATAGTCATCATCTTCTTCCTATCCAAAAAAAAAAAAGAGTAATTTTTTATAACTTTTTAACATATAGAAAATATACCAAAGTACTCAGATCATCACATTAGAGAGGGAGAGACATTAAACTAAAAAATAACGCAAGCCATTTTCCGTTTTTAACAGAAAATTCTAAGTCATGTTATCCGTAAATAATACTGAAAAGAAATCAACTGACCAGTCTTTGAGATTCTTCAGCATCGGATGAGCCGTCTACTGGCTGACCGACATTTGACATTTGCCCTCCGGTCTCGTCTACATCATCGTCTCCTGAAAAAAGCGTTAATTTCAAATTTACGATTACAAGCAGCGTACGAGGACTAGATCGCGATGTAACGGCATGTATAAAATCCGAAGGAAGTATCAATACGAAAGGGAGGGAAAAACGAGAAACAACGACGTTACGCCGAACGACAAATCCATGATCGGCAAAGTTTCGCGCAAACGCAGATGACGATTTTGAACTAATCAACGTACCGCGAATGCTTTGTGCGTCCGCCATTTTCTTTTAATAGGGCATACTACATTTTACATACAGCGAAGCGGCGGCCGACACGTACACACACACACACACTCGTTCACGCGCCTTTATTTTGTGTATCTCACATACACACACGCGCGCGCCCGCACGCCCATACACGATGCCGGTATCGATATTGTAACACTGCGAAGGATTCGATCGGCAAAACCGATTCAGCGGACCTCATTCGAGCCTCGATGGAGGTTAGACGCCGGCCGTGCTCTTTCACGTACGCGCGAGAACGCAACGGACGCGTGAAACGCGGATCCATAACTTTTTTCGCACGGACGTGGTAACATGGCGTTGTGAGTGCAATTGGTCGATTGGAAATCGCTCCAAGAGCTTACGAATTACCGCCGAGGGAGATGAATTTTTCTGTCAACATCGCTCGCCACCGCTCTTTTTCCTCCTCGACGAGCGGAATTAAAAAAAGCAACTACACTCGCGACAGCACATTTATACATTATTAGGACGAATGTGGAACGAGCAACCATATTTTATAAATCGACCATGGCTGCTGCTCTTCCAATTTTTCTTACTCTCCCAACTTTTCGGCGGAATTTCGGTCTATTTTACAACTGTTCTCCGAGATTGGATTATCCCTCTGGACCTAAGAGAATGATCCAATCTTTTGCAACATTTGCAAATAGACGGTCTACTGAACGCGGCCAATTACACCGCAAGTGTCATGGCACGTATCGAGCGGAATGACGTGAAATAAATGAGCGAACGAATACAAGTTCCAATATCGGAGAAACACCGACGGAATAATCCGATCACGACGGTCATTACGAGCCATGTACCTTTCCGTGTGGCAACGGAGAATGCGCGTCATTCGGTCCTCGTAAGAAGAGAGTACACGCCGAGATGAACGAGCACACCTGCGGAATATCCGGGCAACTTTTACCGCTAATTGATATATTCGGACATATTTTGCAACGAAAGGCGGGAGAGCGTTTCAGTCGCCGCTACAGGCAAGATCGTGCAATCCGAAGAGAGAACACCACCATGCGACGACTCCTCGGAGAGCCGCTGTATGTGCGAATAAGCGAGCGATTTCTCTCGCGATAGGAAAAGCATCGATGAAAAACGCCGGGATGATAAATCCGTGAGGTTATCCGCGCGTCTCTCGCGCGCACGCGAGTGAATGGGTATCCCATGAAACCCCCGAGCAGCGCCGTTGTACCGCCCGCAGCCAACTTCGCGATGCGAACAACGCGCCAAGCCGCGGTGACGGCGAGGACGCCGCTCTCCGGGAGGCGGCGGTGACAAGTCGATTGATAATGGCTGCCACTGATGCACGAAAAGCGCGCGTACATGCATTCTCTCTCGCGCGATTTAGTTTCGGAGCGCACACATACATCCTCTCTCGCTCACCCCCTCCCCGCTCAGCCCTCTTGTCTCCTCCAACTCACCTACGTAGCTTTCGTCCACCTCCTCGTCCGACGCCATTCTCCAGCGGACACGCTACTCTACTACGATGAGACAGCGACCAGGTACGACGACAAGCACGTCGACGGTACTCGCTCGCTCTCTCGCTCACTCACTCGCTCCTTCCTGTCCCTCTCGTTATTTCAGCGCAAGGAAATGCCGAAATGCAACATAACACGTTTATCGCGCAACTCGACGCTCTCTTTACTCCGTACGCTCGTATCGTCACACACGCTATGCCCTCGTATGTACGCACGTATGAGTGTTGCCGCTTCTGTTCCACTACTGCCGCGCGATTCGTCGTTTCCCTTCGTTCCTCCCCACTCCCGTCGCGTGTGTTCCGCACACCCTCTCTTCTCTTCGTATTCCCTCTCTATGCACCCATCGAATTTGCACGCGACGTCTCTCCCTGACAAAGAACGTTCTCCTTTCTACTTTTCTGCCATTGTTGTGTTGCATCTTTATATCTCCGAGCGTGCCCAATGCAATGTTCTTTGTATGCATATTTTACGCGAGAATTATTCGATTACAATAAAGATTTACGCATTTATCCCCTTTTTCTCCTCATTTTTGCCATCTCAAACACAAAGAAAGTGCACAACGTGGCATCAATTTTAGGCTCTCATATTGTGCGTTCAGATATAAATATTTGTGTGAAGGGAATACATATTTGAGTGTCTCAAAGTACTCGTCCTTTTTCACAAAATCAGTTGCGTGCAATTTCGTTGGCATCCCTTTTTCCGTAAAGCAAATTACACCTAACCTAATCTGAGCCACCTATAGTCAGCTTTGAGATGCAGTTAGTTTAGAATTTCTAACGACAGATGGCGAAATTGGAGACACGTTGTGCATTTCGTCAGCATTCGACACATTCACGAGGAATTTTTTTTACCCAGGAGGCGGATAAATCTTTCGTAAATAAAATGGTGAATAAGTTGGATTGTTAACTAAAGCGTTGTCATTAAGTAACATAGTCTCGCGAGCTAAACAATGTGTCTACGATACTTGACAATTATGCGTAAATTCATCATCTCGTTTACGTAAGCCGGTGCATTTTCCATTAGTGTGGAGGTTATATTTCTTCGTTCGAAAAATTTATTCCTACAATTGCGAGAGTTCTACAATTATTAGAATTCTCCGCGATATTTATTCATTAGGCAGACTTCTATTATTTTTACATACGTCTATTTCTCCCAAAGAACATAAACTCATACAACGCACAAATTTCTTCGTTTACTTTTGAAAAAGTAGCCTGACGGCTTAAACATTGATAAACAATTTGCAAGTGCTCTATTGTGGGAAAATCTCTATGTAAAGTTTTAATCTAATGAAAGGATTGATGTGACTGATGTCGTAACAGTTCCAGAATATTGCAACATGTAGAGCGTGCTTAAAGGGAGCTGTGCGATCAGTACAATCTACAGGAAATTTACAAAATGTCAAAATGGCGAGAGAACGTTTGTTACTTTGGCAAACATCGATGGACAACATGCTCCGTGTACAACCGGTAAGTTTTTTTGCCTTAATAATAAAAAACACCACTGGTAATACTATGCTTGTAGATTCGGTTGTATTCAAATCCAGCACGGCGGCCGAGTTTTCTATCTCAGTTTGTCGAGAATATCAAACAAGAGATGCGGAAGAATAAAGAGATGAAACAATCTTTGGAGAAATTTCGAGAAGAAGCTCAGAAATTGGAACAATCGGAGGCACTACGAATGGCACGGCAAAAATTCAATACCGTCGAATCCGAAGCTAATAAAAGTTCGGAAGTTATTAAGGAGAAGCTGGATACACTGAAGGAAAAAGTAGGCATTTTGTTCAACTATCATTTTGTTTATGCGGTATGTATATAACTATAAATTTACATTCAAAAGGTGCAAGAAGTCATCGACGATGCGAGTAAAACTGAATTGGGCAAACGCGCCGGACAGCTAAGCGAGGGAATCACAAAGTCGGCCAGAGATGCGGCGGAGGCGATTTCCGAAAAAAGCCAAGCACTTGGTAAGACCGGTGCATTTCAAACGATATCAAACACTGCGGAGGCTGTACGGAATGAACTTGACCAACACGGAATTCTAGGTAGATAAATTTGGCTGACTAGACAAATAGAAAGCAGTTTCAATTTCATTATTGCTTAATGCAGGCCAAGTTTATGTTCAACCTAAAAAGCTACGAAAAAGGAAGGAGGTAACGATAGAGCTTAAAGATATTATGCCTGATCAAAAGACGACAGGTATGGAAGTGCATAAAGACTTTATGTTTTCCAATGCTTGGCAAAAATTTAAGGTATTACACATCTTTTTTGTACATGTATCTTTTTTAGTATTGTGATGTAGCAAGCAAGATTGAAAGCTACATAAAATCTAGATGAGGACATTTTTTTTATTACTGTAGGAGGGAAATAGTATTTTACTAAATACTATGGATACATTATTTTAAATTATTCTGTTCAATTTTATTTTATAGGATAATAATCCATACGTGAATAAGATAATGGACTGGAAGATGAAGTATGATGAGTCAGATAATGCGGTACTACGCGCTTCCAGATTGCTTACAGACAAAGTTACGGATATTGTAGGCGGATTGTTTCAAAAAACTGAACTGTCAGAGACTTTGACGGAGATCTGTAAGCTGGATCCCAATTTCAGCAGAATACAGTTTTTGAAGGATTGCGAGACCGACTTTATCCCAAATATTCTCGAGGCGATGGTCAGGGGAGAACTGGAGATTTTAAAAGATTGGTGTCACGAAGCGCCTTATAATGTAATCGCACAACCACTCAAAGAAGTACAAAAATTAGGATACCGTTTGGATAGCAAAATTTTAGGTATTTCAAGCTAAATCTCTTTAAAAAATTTTTTTTTTTCAAAAACATCTTTTCCTATATTTCTTATTTTCGAGATACGATTTCATTCTTGGACCAGCTTATCAGTAAACTGGAAATATTTTCTTTGCAGATATCGATAATGTGGATTTATTGATGGGCAAGATGATGGATCAAGGTCCAGTTTTGATCATCGGTTTTCAGTGTCAACAAATCATGTGCGTGAGAAATTCAAAGAACGAAGTGGTCGAAGGAGATCCGCAAAAAGTGATGCGTGTTAATTATGTTTGGGTATTGTGTCGCGATCGAACGGAACTCAACCCCAAAGCTGCATGGCGTTTGCTCGATCTCAGTGCTACCAGTTCGGAGCAGTTGGTATAGTGATGTAAAAACGCAATACGAACTATTAAAAACATTCATATGACCAAACATAGCGGAATCATTCACGCACTTCATACATTGCTAGACCATTCGCATTGTTATAAAATAAGTAATTATACATGGAATCCTTTAGTGGATCGTGATCGGCGATCTAGTGTACATATAGTGCACAGCATATTTCCTGTAAAAATTGAAATGTTTATTTATATCCGCAAGATTCCTAGCAACGTATGTAAACTTCGATTACATGATGTAAGTACATATGCTAAATACTGCAAAGGTTATCTCTTATAATATATTTGTGAAATCGGATACAAAAGGAATGCAGCAAACACTTCGATCGTTTTCCAGAATCGATGAAAATTGCGAGGATAACGATCACACAGTTTTTATCTGTCTGGAAGTCATCAAATTGTAGTGCTGCCAACCTTTTTACCATCAATTGAGAAGTCATTGGGATTAAAATGATATCCTCTTACGTGTGTATGTACAGAAAAAGTGTATTAAGTAATTGTGCGATTATGTTTATATTATTATGTACTTTACAAAATTTATATAAGTTTATAATAATTACATAATAATGATATACACATATGTTGTATATGTGTTTTCACACACACACACACACACATATATATATATATATACACACATACGCACAAATGTTTATACATACACACGTGTACTTTCGAATTTAGAACGTTAAACAATATAAAAAATTTAATTTCATATAGATTTATAAAAGAAAAAAAAAATATTAATTTTCATACGTCACGTATGAATCTTACAGCTTACTTTGAGATTAGATTAATACAGTATTTAAATGAATGTTCGTTGATTACGCGCATACACCACCAACCAAATCATTTCTCAAATCATCTTTCAAATCGTTTCATTTCTTTCAATGGTAATTTAATTTCATATTTTAAAATAAAAGATTTTCATCAAAATATATAATTTCAAAAAATATTAGTAGAGATATACTTATTTCTGTTGCAACTTTATTTTACACTTCCATACGAAAACGTATAATGCTGAAAAAGGAAAAAATTATGACAAGTCAGCCCCCGACACATTTTCATTAAGCGAAAAGTAGATTTTAACTGGCCCGGTGAACCTGTTATCAAAATTCAACAATTTGTACGAGGCACGCCGTATATAAATATGTACATATGTACAAGCCAATACAGCCGATTGTAATGTATAGCCATGAAATTGTTAAGAGAACTGTTGATTATTTTTTAAGCATTATATTATACAATTTTAGCTCTGATCAGTTCGAGGAGGAAATAAAGTGATATTCGGTGAACAATGTGTATTATTTTTTTATTTAAAATATAAAATTACGAAACCCATTGGAATTCACCAGTGTCTATATAGCGCAATACTAATCTGGAATTAGAAAGACGAAACATCACGATAGGCTTTTATTTGTACGCCTCACTACATTGTTTTTTTTTTGTACCAACTCTTTTACACAAACATACATATATATATATATATCCCAATATAAAGTGAGAAATATGTTGCATCTTTCAGCAAGACGTAATGGAGCATAGAGTGATATTTTGGAAAGTCGAATAGACAATACAAGCGACTCGAGGAAAACGAAGAAGAAATTCTAACATGGGCGTTATTTAGTCGGGTGCTTTGCTGCTTGCCTGTGTTTCTTACTTAACGCGGGACTCTGCGGTTCAGTCAGCATCTTAGTTGCCTTAGCGATGATCATCGGCTTGTACATCGGCATGGGTCTGGCCCTCACCTCCGCCAGCTTGCGCTGTTCAGCCCACATCTGCTTCTCGTTCTCCTCCTGCCTCCTCTTTTCTTCCTGACGTTTGGCCATCTCCTCCATTTCCTTTCGCTTCAATCTCTCGTCGAATTCGCGTCGTTCCCTCGCTCTCTTATCAGTGTTCAATTCCAACGTTGCTTTCATCATTTCTTCTCGGCCGTTAACAGTTTTTCGCGCACACTTTCCGCTCTCCCGCGAGCTCTTCTCGATATTCGGCTCCTCGTTCTCCTGGTCGTCCGTCTTTCCGATCTCCTTCGCCGATAGACGCTCCTTGGATACGCCGCGTACCATCACGGGCTTGAAGACCGGCGCCGGATTCGCGCGGAACACGCGCATCCGCTTGTCTTCCTCAAGCATCTGCTTCGCCAATTCCTCCTTCCTCTTCGGCAAATTTTTGTCACGTGTCTCGAAGCTAAACGGGCATTGCTGTACCACCATCGTCCTCCTCTTTTCTTGCTTCGGCGGTGACGTAGTTAACGGTGGCTTGGAGAAGTTCGGCGCCGGTCTAGCGTGGAATTCCATCTTCGTTTTACCCGCCTCCTGCAGGCTCTTCAGTCGCTGTTCCTTCTTCATCTGCAGATCCTTGTTGCGCGCCTCGAAGCTGAACGGTACGACGCGCGTCACGCTCCTCGCGCTCTCCTTGGGCACGCCGAAGTACGGTATCTCTTCGTGCTCCACGAGGATCCCGTTCGGATCGCTCACCAATATCTTCGTGACGGTGTTCTTCGCCGACGACCTATCGTGGCGCGACACTCCAGGATTCTTCGGCTGAATTGAGGTGACCATTGACCGCTGTGACGAATTATCCGTTGGCTTCTTCGTGACGTTGCTCTTCGTTGTAGCGCGTACAGGACCGCGCAGAACGCTCAGTGGCACCGGATTCGCCTTGATCGGATTCTTCTTCATCTCCTCCATTTCCCGCTTCTCGCGCTCTTCCTGGCTCAGCACGGTGACTGTGCGCGTCCTATTCTTCGACACGAGCGCCGGTGATATCGGTATCGTCGGCTTCAGACGTTGCATCAATGGCTTCTTCGACGGCGGATCTTGCGACACGAGGTCCTTGTTACGCCTAGTGCGGAAACGCTTGGGTGTTTCATTTTGAAAGCGCGACACTGCTTCCGCCAGGCTGACAAAACGACTCGACCCCCGGCGCTTGTTCAGGCTTGTTCGTCTGCCGTTCTGCCAAGTCAGGACGGAGGAACGTGGCTTACCGTGTTGCGCTCGACCACGCGTCTCGACCATAGCGACATCATTCTGTTCCTCCGTTACCTCTTCCGTCTTATCGTGCAACGTCACATTATCTTCCCCCACAATATGGTCTTCTTCAACATCTCCTTCGGATAGAGAATAACTGGTTAATGCTCTCGTTTGGCGTATATTTGTATCATCGTTCTTCTGTGGCGCATCAGTTACCACAGATGTACCATTGCTAGATTGGACATTGTTCGGTACACTGCGACAGCCGACAGATCTGGATAATTTTATGATCGACATATTCGGTGTTTTGAAAGTGTTGGGTTCCTGAACGGTTTTGTTTAATGCACTTCGAGCCTTAAGCGGCTTCTTACAGAGTTCCAATTTTTTCATCGCATCAGTAAGTACCTGATCGTAAGTTATCTCTGCTGTCATTGTCGTCTTCTTACGATATTTTGGGGAAATGACTTTGACAGGGGTATTCTTTATAATGTCAAGATCTTGTTGTGCCTCTTTGTTTACACACAGCACATTGATGGGCATATTCTCAGCATTCTCTGTAGTTAAATCGCTAAGCTCCTGTATGCGTCCATGTATCGCATGTTCCTTCTCAAAATAATCCTTCATTGGTACTGGTGGGCTAATAGCTTCAGTAAAATCTACCCATTGTGTTCCGATGATAGAATCCATTCTATCGATTTGAATGTATACAGCGCAAAGGTAATGATGATACTTTGAAACAATATTAAGTCATACGGTTGAGAGATCACTGTGGTTTATCAAAACATATCAAACAGCAGCAGCCGGTGAGATGATCTGAAATATACAAAAATGAATATCTATATATTTTACACTAGTTAAAATATATCACATGTATGACGCCCGTGCTTAGAATATCAAGTGATATATATATAAACTGTTTTCGAAAGACTAATAAAAACAATATTTTTTTCGTTGTCGCGAGTATAGAATAGTAATCGACGACGTGTAATTTAGCAAATACCAGCAAATATTATTTTAATAAAATTCCACAAGTTCTTGCAAAGATGCTAGCAACAAACTTTCAGCGTAAAATTTACACAAAAATACCAAGAAAATTAATCATCACATAATTTTGCAATATTGATGCTCAAAACGAAGTATGAAAGATAGAAAAACCTTAATTAGAACAGTATGCTTCAACGAGTATATGCTTTACCTACCTTTCGTCAAAAGGAACAATTAAAAGATAAATATGATATCGTCGAAACTATATTTGTTGGTCCGGATTATTTCTCATTCGATACACCGGTGTGTGTCAGAAGAAAAACCTCCAAAGCATCCGACGAGCGACTAACGTTACGCGGAGTCAACGAAGACATCAATTATACGTTGGATTCAAAATGTTTGAATCTTCTTCATCCTATTGGCTAATATCTGAATCGCCACTCATCTGGGCAACACCCAGTAACGAAAATTTCTACTTAACATACAGGTCGAGCTTTAATATTATTGCATTCCCTAGCTTTAGCGTCACAAAAATACCCATTGGGCTGCGTTCCGAACTCGACTCGCATTTAATTAACCAATCAGGATAAAAGAGCATAGATTTTTTTATTATAATTAGTTAATTAAATGCTACTCGAGTTGGGACTTAGAATGCAGCCCAGAAATATATCCTTTCTAGAGCGGCGTTCAGAAGCACCACATTAGAGTGGCGTTTATTTGACCAATCATAAAATCTTTGTTCTTCTTGTCGCCGATTGGTCAATTGAAAATCACTCTACTCTCAGTGTGATGTTTCTGAACGCAGCCGAGGCTGATATTCATATGGCGTTTCCATTCATCCGACTCGATCCAATTCAGACAGCGTTCCTATAATCACTACAATAGGGAATTTTTGCCGTTTTTCGCTAAAGCGCATTCCGATATTCACTGCCGCAGTGCTGCGAATCCACTTTTTGTGTTATGTATTCTATAAAGTACCGGAACGTATGCGTCAGCGTATCTGATAGGTAGCATCAATCGATTAACTCAACGGAATTGACCAATCACATGGATCAGTTAGCTGATTCCGTTGAATTGATCGATCAAGTTAACCGAAGTTCACAGGAGTTAAAGAAATAGCATCTTTGTTTTTTTATAACTACGTTTGTCGAACTAATTTTCCTTTTATTACCATCAAGAGTCGAATATATGTAATTTTAGTGTGTTATGTGTGCGAGATACAATGCAGCTATAAACAATAAGTTTCTCAATCGTTCGTCATATTTATAATATAAAAAATACAAATTATCAGGTAAATCAAGCAAATATAGGTATATAAGTAAATATAGGTAAATATAGCAACATGAATAATTAAAAAATCATGTGAGTAATGTTTAATATTTATTTCCAATTATTACAACTTGTTTGCATTATATATAAAAGTACCTACTTATGTACATGTATGAAGTACTCCATTCTTGAAAGAAACATGGGAAGAAATACGAGCTATACGAGAATTTTTTTTTTTGATATATTAAGCAGTACCGTAAAAATCTAATTAACATATATATATGCAAATCTTATGCATCATGTTGTCTACAAATTGCAACATTGAAATACCAGACTACTAATTCCAGTCCATTTTCAACTTTCTTTTTACCTGCCTCGTTTTCATGGTTCATCACACTTTGAAAAGGAGTTTTGATGTAAATGTTCAATGAAAATATATCCATAATTGTGTACATAGGATACTGCGTATTCAAGAGTTACTCAGACTTCGGCTTTGTGTCTTCTTTGTAATGTAAAAACACGAGCGAGAACAGAAAGACACCGCCCATCATGGAGAAGGCGCTAATATAATATGGGAATGCACTCGGTATAAAACGCTCGTACTGCGTGTGTTGTAACGGACGCACAGACACCTGCGTGGTGCTGTAGAGATGTGTCAGTCCAACGCGCGAATAGTCCACCTTGAACTGGTACACACCGTAAACATCAGGTATCTTGAATCTGCCCTCATAGCTACCATTTCCCACTGGCTTCATGGTCATACGCACGAACGGATCAATGCGCACGAATTCCAACTGCAGATCATTCGTTTCATACGGCACCCACTCGCCGCCTGACGACAGTCGCTCCACGTTGATCGAATACACCACTTCGTCCATGATGGTATACGCGGCAGGTGGCTGCGACTCACCGACTCTGTGATGGTGAACGGATGACACACGTATGACGCCGTTCTCCTTGAACACCCATTGCGCCATGGCTTTAGCCATTGCTTGGTTGCCAGATTTCTCATACTTCTCACCACCTGTGAGTGAGATCGAATTTAAACCAATGTTTCTTCTTCAATAACATATCTGTAGAATATGGTCTGTTCTTTATAGCTGAACTAGCTGCATGAGAAATTTACTTTGAAGTCTATGTACAAGATTCTCACACTTTGGTAATTTTCTTGAACTAAATAGCGCAAACAGTTCAGCTATAAAGATCCGGTGAATCTTTCCCTTAGATAATTCCAAATAAATCAACTATTTCGCTTTATTATTTTCACTTACCTTGTCCCCTTTGAACTGGGCTAGTGAATGCTTCATCACTGAAGAAGAACAGTGATCCTGAGAACAGAACTCTTGCATTATTCCTGGCCTGTAGAGCTGCTATCAACAGAGTATTCTTGCCAACACTGTGTGGATAATCCTTGACTGGTTGGTCTGGATTATACGTATATGCTGAAGTTGATGCCGATAATAGGCGTAAAATCAAAGGATTATCGGTGTCTGCAATTAGGCCAGTTCCTTGATAAAGTAATGGGGAAATACTTTTACTTCCGACAATAACTGGAGCATCTATCAGATTTGCCGGGTCAGCTACTATAGTGGTGTGCTGGCCGCTATCAGAAACATCGTAGTTCATGTGATCAATTACTGCAGAGCCTTCTTCATCTATTTCCAAGCCGCATTCTGAGGCTAATTCGTGCAAGGCATCGCCAGATTGTGAGGAGCCAGCAATCAAAACATTCCCACCACCGTCTATGAAATCTGTTATTGTCTCCACATTCAAAGCACCACCAAATTCTTCTACGGTAGGTGCAAATATTATCAAATGCTCATATAAGAATTCACCATATTTGGAAAGTTGCAGATTTGCGTCATCAGCTGACTTGAAAGTTAATACATAGCCACTATCTGTAAAATAATTTTAATCAAATATATTATTATCTACGATATGTTATTGCGGTCTTCTGTTATCAAAAAAAAAGTCTCTTGTTACATATTTCATTTTTAGGAATACAAAGAAACAAATATATCACTATATATTTGGTTGATAAAGTAGCTAGTAAAATTAATAAGGAATGATATAATAACATTACACATTTGCCACATTAAAAATAATCTCGGTAGCAACAATCATTAAAAAGATGAGTAGAAAAAATAGGAATATTTTTATTATATATTTTAATCTTCTTTAAATAGGCCAAATTAGAGAAACTTTTTTAAGCTTATAATGGTAGAAACTGTGTGCACGGAGAGGTGTTCATTAGGAATAAATATACATTGATTGCGTGTACACTGAATTTAAACGATATTTTAAAACGGTGATTATAAAGTGAAATTCATTCTAGACTCCCGATATCGAATTATAGATGCAACAGTTTAAGAGCTGATTGATATCAATTTTGTTTGCGAAATTGCGGTTTCGTTGAGAAAAACGATGCCGGCAACATGTCGGTGACGATTACAAGTGATAAAATAATAATTTCTCAGGATACCCTGTAGTGTTTTGAAGAATATCGAGTGTGTCTCTCTAATCGCAAGATTGTCGAGCAAAACGAGAGTCGGGCCGCCGGCATTTACGCTGGCGAACGCAAAAAGCAAGCAGAATAACCTATTTACAAACTTCATCGTACACCACCTATGACAGACTTGCCACGAGTAGAGATACGTCGTCATACCGTTGTAACGCCACAAATTGATCAGTTATATGATGCAGTACCGTCTTTTCAGTAGATGGCGCTTTCTTAAAGAAACTTTTGTTTTTGCCCGTAATTTAAAATAATAAAAAAATTAATCTAAATTTCACTTAAAAGTAATACCAAAAATTGGACAGTAACAATTTAGATTCTGGATAAAAAATTGTTCCACTTGAAGAAGATTATAAGAATTCGATTAAACTTGCACATACATTTAGCCTGTTCTTTTTAGCTGTACTGCTGAACTGGTGCAATAAGTTGAAATGAAAATACATATACTTGTCACATTTTTTGCATCAGTGCGGCTAAAAAGAACAGGCCAATTGTACCATGAGTGCATTCCACTTAACGCTCGCAACGATCGCGAACATCATCTTCGTTTCTCTTGGAACGAATGTTAAACAAAGCCAGAACGCAATCGTTGCGAAGTGGGACCTGCTTCGAGTCAATCGGAGCAAGTGATCCTCATATCCTGTTTGGTTATCCTCGGTTACACCCATAGAGATATAAGAATAGAGGGAACAAGGGATATATGCTACCTGTAAGTGGAAGTGATAGAGGCAAAGAGAGAGATAGATGCCGAGTGCCCTATCTGTCTCTTTCTAGTCACGCGCTGGGATTGGCTGCCGCACCAACGACGATATAGCTATACATTTTTCTCCATCCAATTCAAAGAAACTGTCATTGCTAAAATGATCACTGCAAATATATGCTGTTTTCACTTCAAAATACAAAGGTAGTTGAAGTATATTCAACCATTTACGCCTTATATCTACATCCTTTGGTAGCCTATAACATTTACATATTTTTTTTAATGTAGGAAAAAATAACATATAATTATTTAAGGTTACGTATTTGTACTTTCTTACGAGTGAAAACTGCGGTTACATCCAGGATAAAACTCCGCCTTGCATTTCAAACAATGCTTCATTTTTAAGCAAATTGCGTCCAATTATTATTTTGTTAACGTTCGAATATTTAACGAATTTTAATTCTACACACATGTGCACGCATATTTACAAAACGAAATTTTAGTCTGCTTTCTCCCCTCCTGACGTCGCGTGGTCGTTTGGTGGCTTATTGTAACAACCAATCACAGCGCTCGACTAGAAAGAGACAGATAGGACACTCGGCATCTATCTCTCTCTTGACTTCTATCACTTCCACTTACAGGTAGCATATATCCCTTGTTCCCTCTATTCTTATATTTCTATGGTTACACCGGTAAGCTTATTTCTACAATAAGGGCATGCACGGTGGATGTATCCAATGTAATATCAAATCCTTCAGTCTGATTCTAAATTTCCTGAAATCAACCAATCAAATCCTCTAACACTCTGTGTTCTCACGCTTGGAATGATGTTGAGGATGCATTCTGGAGCCGTCTGAAACCAGTACCGAGAGAGAGAGAGAGAGAGAGAATTCCACGTATGTCGGATTTTGCGAATACGCAACAAAAGCGGACATCTCGCTCATTCGTCGCATCGAATGCAAATATCATAAAATGAGAACGGATATTACTGATCCTTGGCGAGGAACTGGAACAGCGATAACCGACGACGAACCAAACGATCGCTTCGAAGATTCTTTCTTGGATAAAGATTTCGATCATCAACGGCTGTCTGACTCAGAACAGTATCTGCAAAAATTATGTAAGACATATTTTAATTATAGAAAAATTGTATGTATATGAAATGAGTATGTATTAAGGCTCCTGTCTCCTTGACTGTTTGATGACGTTAGAAGCGAGAGATCATGCTTAATCATCGTATGCCTAAATATATATTACAGTATACGTGGAAATAAAAGAATGTACATAAAATGGCATTCGTGATAGATTCGGCACATTTGTAAAGATGTCTGGACACCTTTAAGTTGAATAACTAATAAATAGCTGAAAATTAATGTAACATGCAATTTACGTTTTTAATCTCTCTTTTCTCTGTTACACGTTATAATTTCACGGCTATTTATTAATTGTTCAGGAAAACATCATCCTCAAAGGATAACGTTCGGATATTTTTAAAGTGGGCTGAATCTATCACTATTTTATATACATATTCTTTTATTTCCATGTACATTGTAATATATTTTGGCATGTGATTTTTTGCTTTGATGTCATCAGACAAAATTCAAAATTACAGCTAACATTTTTGTGATATCTACTTTATAGCTGTTAATATAATAGATTCCAGATTAAAAGTTCTTCAGGGTGGTACTACAAAAAAGGATCTTGTAACGTCACTATCAGTAGCAAAAGAAGATTGTATTGCACGTTTAATCATTTCTGGAAACAATCCTCAGTCAGAAGAAGAGGCTGAGTTGGCATCAAATCCTCTGATACGACACATAGCTCCTCACTTACAGGTCAACAAGTAACATTATAGTGTCGCTATATATATATATATATGTATACACGTATATATAGTACTGAAAACTAATAATGGATTTATTTCTATAATATTGTAGGCTTTAACAGCTAGCGAATTGGTTCATCTTTTAAAAGCAGATGTACTTCAAGTAACCACAGAGGCTGAACAAGATATTACGGAAGAAACAGAAACAAATCAAACATTAACAGAGCACAAGTCAGACAATAAAAATAATTAATTTCTATCAATTTTGCATTATGTCGGTTGAAGCATTGTCTGGTAAAGTTTTCTTGCTGGTAACTGGTGCTAGTCGTGGCATTGGTCGACAAATTGCAATAACATTTGGCTCTCTATTGCAAGATGGTTCTCACATTCTGTTATTGGCAAGAGACTTAAATGCTTTACAAGAAGTAACAAAGAACATACCCTCCAAGGTTACAGTTGATACTGTTAGCATGAACCTAAGTAAATCAACCAAAGTCGAATTAGAAGGTAAATATGGATTTCTTCATCTCTTTCATCAAGACTGTGTGATTATCTATACCCAAGCTCTAGGAAGTTGTCATACAAACGTATTTTTTTCATTCTATTCTAGAAACAATATCACGTTCTCTGAAAGGAACTATTCCAAATTCATTTGACAGAGTGGTTTTAGTGCATAATGTAGGTTCATTTGGTGACATCACTAAGCTTGCAAATGAATTGACAGATTTGAGTACTTGGAGAGAACATTATGATTTAAACTTTTTCATTCCTGTTGTTCTAAACGCAGTAGTCATGAACATGTTCAATAGTACAAACATAAAGAAAGTGATTATTAATGTGACATCTTTGTTTGGCATTCGAGCAAACCATGGTTGTAGTCAATATTGTTCAGTAAAAGCAGCACGAGAGATGTTTTTCAAGGTATGTATGTATAATTTTTCTCTCTTTGATGTTTTATCTTTCTATTCGCAGTGAAACTATATTTTTCTCATGAATTATTCTTCCCTCTTTTCCCCATACAGGTCTTTGCTTTAGAAAATCCCGACGTCGATGTATTATCTTATTCACCAGGACCCGTCGATACAGATATGTTTGATAAAGCATGTAAGAGCCTAATCGATCCCAAGGCTAAGAAGAAATTTAATGAAATGCGAGCAACGAAAACTGTGTTGACTCCAGAACAAACGATTAATCGTCTTGTGCAGGTCTTGGAGAAACATAAATATAAGTCAGCCGACCACGTGGATTATTATGACGAATTGTAAATGTAACATATAATTTTTCAATAAGTAAATGTATTCTTCCGTTGATAAATATTCTTATTAAGATTATAGTATTGTTTGTAGTGATCCCATAACAAACTATAATTTCTGATATATATCTGATGTTTGTTTATTTTTATCCCTGTTATAACGCGTGTGAATAGACTTCTTACGTAAAAACTAGAAAAGGCTGGGCCAACATAAAACGTATATAGATGTATGGTATGTGCTGACACGCATGCATCGGGTATGTACGGTAGTCACGTTTGATTAGTTGAATCATGTACGGCTGCGTTCAGAAAACACAATGGTCCAGTAATTCGTAATTGGTCTAAATTAGAAATCTAACAGTAAAAAACCAATGATCACTGATCGCTCGTGTTTTCTAAACGCAGCCACTTTCACACAGCGGAATAAAATGATCGATAGTTGTATAATACAATTTCTATATTTCTATATCTTATATTTCATTCTTTTCTATTGTGCATAATGTTTAATCGCGCTATTCCTAATTCTTAATATTCAATATTTGTTCCTAATATGTTTCCGTTGTGCGCTACTACACCTATTGTAGGTCCGGACTATTGAGGTATACAGTAGGAATAAAACGCTAGTTTTTCTTTGCTGAAATGTAAAATGGCAACTTAAAGGTACAATTTCATGGTAGAGTCGGATCCAATCAGCGGACAATCCATTGACGCTCGACGCTACCATGAAATTGTACCTTAATGGGTGGTGTCGCATGACAGGTTTTTCCGCGTAACCAATGAATTGCGACGTTTGATATTTCTATTGGAACTTCTAAAAGTATAGAAAGTATGATTGGTTATACGTTGCGCGAAGAATACGTGCCATGGGACGCCGCCCTTATCAATTAATTTAGTGTTTTACGCTCTTGCCGTATGACAAATGCGATACACCTGAAGGAGTGCGTCATATACATGATTTCAAAACTATGCGAAGATAGGGCGTGTGTTTTAGATTTGCCTCAAATTCGTTAGCTCAATTGTTACTGCCTGTAAACAAAGAAATTTGTTGTTTTCATTTTTTTAAATGATATAATAAAATGAAAAGTTTATCATACATACTGCCACTCGTGACGTGCCTTGCATGGCATGGTAAGTTGAATCAAAACACTGATATTCTGTAACCGTATCAATTTGGATGAGTCAAATGCTTGTGTGTAAAAATATATCAATTGATGTTTTTCATTTATTTCGCTTCAAAATTCAACATTTTTTATTAATTTTCTATATTTCATGTATTTATACGGAAGTTACTTTTACATTGAAAAAGACAAGGAATTATAATACAATTCTGATATGTGTTTTTTTTTTGTTTTTTTCATATTTCTATATGAATTTATTCTTTCGACATACGATATAATACTTGTAAAACAAAAGTAACTATACTAATATTGGTCGCCAATAAATTGCAAAATTTCAGATGATATGAAAACATCATAAAAATGTCTAATGGTTTACACCAACCGTTTAATACATGTATCAATTTTATTCCAAATTATCTCTGTCATAGTAATGCGTGTATTAAGCAACAGTATATTGATACATCTTTGTATACCACCTTAGTAAGCTGTCGTTTACATACATTGTCGAAGATGATTTGGTAGAAAATTACTATGTAGTATATATAAACAAACTGGTGTAAACTAAATTAATAAGATCTCGCCTAAAGGATATTTTCGAGATGTTCTTTAGACTTGTCTTATATTTGAAAAAGGACCTCATTGAACAAATATGTAACAAATATATATTATTTAACAGTTGCTGCTATAGCTCAGAATATAAGTTACAATGACATTCCACTGGTCATCAGAGGATCTTGGTTTTCATGGGAAAATGGCAGAAATACCAGAACAGTATTAGATGCCAATAGCATGACTGAGCGTGGTACATTTGTAGAGTTGTTATACGAACCGAATTCCAATTATACAATTGTATTTCGTAGTAACAACTGTTACCACTGTGTAAAATTTCTTGTTAGAACAGTAAATATCCTAGAAAAACTTGAAGGTGAGTATCATCAATTTGTATTAGCTATTATATATCTAAGATTGAATATTTATTATCTTTTTATTGCAGTAAGTTGTGTGAATGTTCCTGATGGAATAAAACCTTCAGTGGGTTATGTTTGCAAAGGTTTAAGTGCAAATCAACAACTGATAACATTATTTTCGGAACATTTTTCACCCATGAATTGCAGATCATCTCTAGAAGGAGTTTGGCAGTTTACTTATCAAGTAAGATGACACATATTAATACTTGACGAACATGATGTAATAATGATGTCTGTGAGGCAGTTAGCTTTTTTAACACGTCATTAGATGTTCTTAATACATTGCTGAATATATAACACTACTAATAGACACTTGTGTTGTGCATAACGTTATTTTACATTATTTCAGAACCGATTCCGATTTACGGGCGAGTGTAATAATCCAGATGCGTATATAAAGTCTTGTCAAAGTCCAGGAAATCAATTTTTCATAACTAATCAGAAATTCAACATTACCTACAAGAAATGCGCTGAGATGAAAGGAACTTTTGATGGATGTAATATATAAAAGTTCCTTTTCTCCTCTTTTCCCTTATGAAATACATACATACATTTCTAAGATGCGTTCCTAACACGTGTTGTAGCAAAAATCTCAAGTGTTGTGTTGTTTCAGTGGTAGAGTACACTTGCTTGGGTGATTGGTTTGTGGGCAAGAATCACTTCTTCGCTGTAGCAAATACAAAGGAATCCCGGGACGATGAAAAGTACAGATGCTTCTTAAGGAATCGTGATGACGACTTGTACATCGGTGTATCTATCACTGCGGAGTGTAATACCCTTAAAACCGTTGAAAAAAGCCCTGAACGTTTAAGAATTACTCCAGTCAAGTCTGAAACAGTCGAACCAGGTTGCCGTTTACCTCAAGATATGTACGGGGATTGGATCAACACTGCTAACATTGAAGCGGACGTTACCATCAACGAAACGCACATCGTTGAGACTTGGCATCCAGATACTGGACGTTATCGGCACACGATTTACATTTGCCGCGAGCAAAGAGGTACAAGAATAATGATGGCAAGATTGGCGGTAGATGGATGGTACGTTTAAATGTATGCGATATTTACGTAAGATTAAATGGGTTTTAATGCAAAAATGCTCTACAGAGGTCTGAAAAAAGACGGACCTTCAACTATAGTGCGTTTTCTTAAAGAGAACAACTAATTTGTATATTATAATTCTCAATTATATAATTTTTCTACATTTGAGTTAACGTTTGCAGTCAAACGGATTACATATGTTTTGATTTCGTGCGACGGCACCATAACGTTATCAGATTCCGAAAAGGTCAAGCGGTGATTAAGGACGATTTTCATACAGTATGCTCCTGGGTCCAATTTACTAATGAACATGATTGGAAATACGACCTATTTTTAGGTAATTACACAGATATATGTTTAAATTGGGTGAATTATCAAAACGTTCAATTGCTTTTTATTTTGTTCGTAGCGCAAAAACCCGTCCCAATACGTTGCCCGGTAGCTGGCAAATATATGTTCAAACAGAAGGGGGATGTCCTCTTTGAGACTAGGATTCTAGGTGGCGTCACCAAGTCTCCGCGCCCGAACATTTATTGTAAACAGAATATTTCTGACTTCTCAGTCTGCAGTACTGACCAAAAAGAGATTGCCATCGACGAGACGTATTGCTTGTCAGTAGATCACCTGGGGAAACCAGTCGATATTTATAGTGAGTTTTACTTCATTTTTCTAATTAATACACACACAGCTGTATTTATTTATAACATAATTTTTATAGGTGATCCGGACTATGTGATGAAATGCATCGGATACTGGAAGGAGAACCTAAAATCATATTTAATAACGTACGACGAGTTAGATCCTATCAGCAGATATCGCTGCTGGGTGTACCAGCGGGCTGATTTGAACCGAGTACTCATGTCTCAATCCACTGGTCCATTCTGCTCACTCAATCAAGACGTTACGAGTAATAATCACGAGGAAGGCGCCTCGGTTGCCCTGGAGTTACAAGTAAAGAGAACATTTTTTTTCTTGGAACATGAATGAATAAAAGTGCAGTGGATAAAAGAAAACTATCTGCACATTTGATTTTTTTGTAAATATCATGTGAGAAAATTTAAAAATAATGTGCAAATACTTTTTCTTACCCACTGTAATTCAAGATAAAAGTTATTGGCATATAAGATAAAAGGATTGAATAAACTAACTTCTTTCTTGAAGTTAAGTTAGAAGTTAGTGGCTTATATACAATTAACTTGGCAAGTTAAAAGTAACCTAAATAAAAACTAACTAATTGAAAGTTGAATTAAAATTTAAATTAACTTATTAAAATTAAAATTTAATTATGGAAAACTATATATATATATATATATATACAAATTAAAATTTTATATATATATACATACATAATTAGAAGTTAGTGGCTTATATACAATTATATAAATATAAATATATATATATATATATATATATATATATAGAGTTTAGAGGGAGAATAGTTGGGTCAAGTTTATATATACATAGTCTCATATATTTGCAACTTCCAACTTAAGTCATTTTACCCAACCCTCGTTATTGGTACAACGACAATTTGTAGGAATACGAGCGAGAACGTGACCAATGTCCGATGCATTTCGACGATGGATCCAATCCTTGGGTTCAAGCAGAGAACTTCATTCATGTCTTCCATTTTGGAAACAGCGCTAATATAAAGAGCCATTTCTCATTCATGTTCATTATATTATTAGTATTTTGTTCTATGAACATGTAAATCATTCTATTTGTATAAGAAGCAATTTTTTTATTCTCGTAAAACTTAACTATACACACTTTAAAATGAAACAAACCGTCCCATATATTCTAAGTCACTCGCAATGGTTAGTTTAGCATTAACACTAAACGTATTCCGTCCATTTTGTAATTATGTGGTAAAATACGTGCCTTAAACTACTGATAAGATATTGTAAAAGATAGTGTGAAGATACTATTTTCAAGACCTGCTGCTCGATGATTATATCGTCAAGATATGGCTAACTAAAAATGTTATAGAAATAGTTTATCGAACTTTACAGTTCGTCACCAGATTTTATCAAAAGATCAATTTATTACAAGTCCGGAAAATTGTGAATTAAAAAATTCGATATTTTATATTACAGTTTTACTATAATATATACATATATAATATATACATTATGTTTGTATGTATTAGCATATGAATCTATTAATACGTCTTTCTAATATTTCATCTGTGCTCGAACACTCTTATCTTTGATAATATATATTTAAGTACACTGATATAGGGGTGTGTTCTATATTTATTGGAACGCCGTCCATTTAAAAATTATGGAGAATCTCGAGGAATGTAATTTTAGCATCAAAAGATCATTTATAGAATAATAAATACAATTTTGTAATGATTTATATTAAGTTTTATATATTTACCAGAATGTTTGGAGAGTAAATTATCAATTTTATATTGAAAAAAAAAACAAAGAACAAGATACTTATAACAATAAAAAAATATTTAATCTGACTTGTACCAATCATTTGATATATTTGTATGACAAAGTCATACAGATATGTCAGTAATCAGAATTAGAACTTCATCACAATAAGATTGGTAATAGAACTTTTTATAAAGATGAATGTGACATAGTCGAATTAAAATACTTAAATGCTAATATTAAATATAACTATGTAGCATAAATTAACTTATTTGCTTAAGGTGATTCACATTTAAAGACATTTCGTTCCTTCAAGCAAGTGTGTTATAACACTCATTACTCTTACAATATATAAATTATTTATACTAGTATTTTTTTATAGTACTAATACATAAGTGTTATATACAATATACAGGTTTATTTTGTCCAACTAACTTTAGGTATATCAAAGTGCTCAGTTAAACTATCTAGATGACGGTTGAATTCCTCCACGCGCTGTTTGTGCGTCTTGGAAGCTTTCTCTTTGATCCTTTCAGTTTGCTGTAAAGTAACATTAATGTTATATCACATTAAGAATACTTATAATTATTAATAATTTTAAAGTTAATACAATAAATAACTAAAATATACCTGCTATCTCAGATTCTGATAAATACCAATAGATGAAAATTACTCATAATTTGATATGCAAGCATTACTGCTTTAAATTATGAAAAAGATAAGATAATGTCTCAAATAAAGGATATCAACGTATAGTTTTTGGTAAAAAAAAAAAAGCCAAATAGAAGAGTCAATTTAACAAAAAATAGATGAGTATTGTAAAAAAAAAAAGAATACAATTGAGAATATTCAAGGGAATTGTGAGCAAAAGTTCAAAGTTCCAGGTTTTCTTTTTTTTACTCAACAAGATGTAAGAAGATGTTTAAGTATGAAAATTAATGGATAGCAAAATATAAATTCAATGTTATGAAGAGCAAGTAAACTTTGAGATGACATATATATATATTTTTTTAGACACTTATTTTTCACGCCATAACTTTGCGTTTAGCTTAGCTTACCATTTTCTCTTGCATCTTCTTGAAAGCCAGCTCAGCTTTTGTTCGTTTTACTTCCAGATTTTGAGATTTCTCCTCCTCAATAATCTTCGACACTTCTACTAGCTTCTTCTTCTCATCCTTCTTCTTTTTTCTGTAGAAGAGAAATTTCTAGTTTTTACACCAATACTCTAAATTACATAATTAGATAATTTAGAAAAAGTGGTAAAAACGTTAGCAATAAACAAAATATTTCCAATAATAAGAAGTTTGACATGTTTTGTATATAACCAATAAAATCCTAACCTCTTGCTCACTGTCTGGTCGTTTTTCAACTTCAGGGGTCCTTTTGCAGCGTGAGCATATGGATCATCCTGATCGTTTGTTGCAGGCATTGTGATTGATCAAATTAATCTTATTAATCCGATCGATTAATCTTGTACGCCACACGGTCAGACAAAACTAAACCGCTCGATTTTTCTGATGCGAAGAATTTGCAGTGTTAAACGCAACTACTATTTTCTCTTTCAATAGATGGTTCTGAAAGTCTACTTAGGGCTTTAGTATTTCATGTGTCGTATGACGAATTTGTCGGATTGGCTGTCGAATAGAGAATTCCTAGAGTGTCTAGAGAAAATATTAAGGATACTAGAGAAATTCTCTATTCGACAGCCAATCGAACAATTCGTCATACGACGCATGTAATACCAGCCTTAATAAGAGTTTGGTGAAAGTCGTTTTATATGACTAGCTGATGGTGATGAAGACGAGCTTTAAGGTCGTCTCAGCCTTAATTGAGAAACAGAAACATTTCGTATGTGTTATGTGATTGGAATGTATAATAATTGAAGTCATCGTATGATAATATCTTATATATTTCTTTCATCATGGCCAATTCATCAATTTCTTCATCTGTACATTCCTTCAACAATTCCATTAGGTATACAGAAGAACAAGAAATGGCGCTTTACGCAAACATAAAAATGGTTAGGTTAGGTTATATAAAATTTTAAATGTAACAATATTATTATTTATATGTGTGCATTACACATATCTTATCGGAATATATTTAATCTGTTACAGAACCTACAAGCTATTCAAAAACTTACTCATAATCTTAACCTGAACTTTAAAAACCTGCAAAAAGAAATGCACGTCACAGCAGCTTTACTGAATGAAATTGATACGCATGCTTCAGCGGTTAATCGAGATTGATTTATATTTCCCGGCAGTTTTATTCAACGACACGATGCAAAAGTACTTTTCAATAATACGGAAAATGTATATCAAGATTACAGGATATAATAATAAGGGAATACTTAATTGTATATATTTAATAAAGAAACCTTAGAAAATTTAGATCAGGTTGGTAATAACATGTTTTTTTTTTAATTACATTTTTTATTTACAAGGTCATTTCTGCAGAAAAATCTTTAAAGTAATAAAAATGATTAATAATTAAAAATATGGAGAAAACTAGCATATTAGGTATCATTTATAAAACTTTAGCTAGCTTATTGAAAATATCTTTTATAATATTTATAATAATCCTTGTAAAAAAAGCTTAGAAAACTCAATAGAAGAACGTAATAACAGGGAATCGGACAGTTTTGAAGTTAGCAGTTGCTATTTATGAAGTTTGGTGATTTTGTAGGATATATTTTCCTTTATATATTTGTTTTCATTGATCCTCTTAATTTTTTTCTTAAATAAGCCTTTTCCCAATAATATTCATGGTGATTGACTTTATTTCTATATCACTGTAATCCATAATAATTTAAAGATGATGAAGCTACTTATTAATAGCTTGTTCCACAGTCATTTTTTTTTCAATATGGATTTAAATAAGTTTCGAAAGTAACTATTCAGATGTTCGTTCTAAAATATTTTTCTACTGAATATGACCTTGATTTCGAGCCGTTTGTTTGCTAATCTAACATCGTTATGCTTGATTAACCATGCAACACTGTCCATGTTAAGCAAGGATAGAGATGAATACGTTTCACACAGATAGCGTGGATTATGTCTGAGGAAGATCTGACAGAATGTTAATGGTATTTCCAGGACACGCGCGGTGTTCATCGCATAAAAAGCCGTGTTATACTTGCAGCAATAGTCACGAACGGCATACATACTTGTGAAATGCGTGTTTTATTAAAATTTTTAATCAACAATGTTTATGCACTGTCTTTTTGTACTTTTAGCTGGTCTTTCCAAGTTGGGGTAAGAAGTATTTATTTTTTATATTTTATTTGTTCTTTATTTTCATGAAAAAATAAGTTTAAGATTGTCAATAAGATTATAAATATCAAGCTCCTATTTGAATAATAACGTAACGAATGTGACAAATAAGACCGACGATAAAATTATTCTTAGAAAAGAAATTGATACTGTGACTTTCCGAATAATACTGTAACTCTGTTATTATGACAGTTCACACATGTTACTCTATACCAGCATTATAGATGTATTAGATGTAATATATTAACTTGAACGTAATCAGCTCATATATATTGAAATATATACTCTATTTGTGTTTATAATATTGATAAATATATTTATTAAAAAATGATCAAACTGTGTAACTGATTGAGAAGTACATGTAATTTCTAATCGTTTATAATCGCGTCCAGTTCGCGCCGCTGTGCGTCGATATAAACAAATGAACGTAGTTATTTACCTATTGCGAGTTACTAACTTTTTATTCCACTCATTTATTCGAAATTGAATAAGGAATCGAAATATGTAAATATTTTTGTCGTAACTGATTGCGAAGTGCATGTAATTTCTAATCGTTTATAACTTTTATGTTGTCGTTTTCGGGCCGAAAGTGCGATCTTCCTCTGCGAATTAACGCGTCCGATGAGAACGTCGAATGTGGGCCTCGTCTCGTCTCGCGCGGCGAGTGCCGTCGCGGTAAATAAACAAGTGCGGAAAGTACGTCGGTCGGGAGTGTCGGACAAGTGTCGTACGTTCGTCATGTTCTTCACCGATAAGGATTATTTCGCGTGAGGGCCGTCATCGGGAATGTCAACACAGCGCAGCGTTTTGATCGGGTCGCAGCAACGGAGAATTCAAATCCGGCCGTCGTGAAAAAGGTTTGTCATTACCGACGTATTAATACGGCGGAGGCCGAAACAGATGGCGCCTCCGCATGTCTTCGGTATGTTGAATCTAGCGTACTGTTCTTGAATTTATGTGAAAAATCAAGCAACCAGGGTCCCATGCTTACTTGAATCTATCCAAAAATTGAAATCCTTGAACCTCACTCTGCCTACGCGATGCACAATAAAGAAAAATTTACCGTCCTCCGGATACGGACCCTGGTAACTTACCGATCTTCGGAACTTCTCGACCTCGGAGACTTACTCCTAGGAACTTTTACCAACCCTGGTAATTTACTGACTCTCAGAAACTTAAACTATCAACTATTGATCAGTTGTTATTGTGCTTTCCACTCTTACCGACAAAAACTGACAAATTGAAGTTCTAACATTGAACGGCAGTGTCGTTCTCTCATATTGACATTTCTGGAGCTTCCTAATTTGTTTTGGAAGCTGTGTCTGAGATTGAAACTATTTCGCAAAAATCGTGAAAAATACCAAACTATCTTCAAGCTAGACACGTGTAATATATTTATAATCGACGTATGTCTTTTGTTTTATGATCTAGTAAAATGTACATTTCTTCCGCGTTCCTTTCGGAAATGCATCCAACAGTCATCGTTCGTAACATAGGTTAAAGTTCAAACGACGAATAGAATGTTACTTAAGGACTAACAGAACGTTATTTAAGGAAACAGTTATGCGCAGCAACGGTATCTTGGATGTTAAAATATTTGGATGTTGAAATAGAAGTATGTTGCCTTATACATTCTTGTACTATAGTCTAAGTATGAAAATTCAACTTTCAATAAAGAAAGAAAGATAAAATAAATTATATATTTCTCTTTAAAAATATTTCCGACAGTGTCGCTTCAATAGTAGAGACGTTAATTTTGTTATGTAATAATAAAACAAAAAGACAGGTGAATTGGAGCAAACGTATTTGGATTCGTTATTAGTTACTTTTTTCATCGATGTTACCGGAAATGCACTCCATATTACATACAATTTGTTTAATTTGGCGCAACTCAAATAAGCGTTGAACATAATGACTTTTTTCAACCTTCCGACGATTGTGAATAAAGTGTGCAAATGAAACGAATAACTCGCATCTTTGTACTTGCCAGTGGAGAAACAATGATTGTATACCATTTCCGCAATAAGAAGTTCTTTTTTCTTCAAGAATGAAAAACACATTGCGACATTATATTTTGATTTATGGAAATAATACGACTTTTCAGCACTCTTTATTTTTTATGCACACGTATACTAACATTTATACTATCAAGTAATATTATTTTTAATATCTATTCCCTGTTTTTATACATATTGAGTAGAAACTAACACAAGTCTGCACTAATTAATTTGATAGATAAACAACATAAAAATATAACTCGGTTGTCGGTTAAGTATCACGAGTTCTTCTCGTGTACAATCGAGATCAATATTGTGCTGTAGACTTAAGTTATTTATTACGTTAAGTTCTCTTATCGATTCGTATAATACCTTTGGCTTCTTCTATCCGTTTATTATTTTCTCTACAAACACGTGTGTAAGCGCCAATCTTACGACTGTATAATAATACATTTCTTTATAATTTTCTCTTGTTTCGAAGCTAAATTCTAATACTGTAACTTATTCGGCGGAATGTAGTATTTCTTGGTCGGACGATATATTAAAATTCTTCGTAAATGCATACGAAGTCGACGCTTAGTACACATCGCTTATGTCACTAATTGACACTAGCTAATATTAATAATATCTCATTGTTTAACGAGACTCCTCTCGTACATCACATACACGAAACAATTCGAGACGAAAGCTCATTCGCATCGTATTACATCGGATCCAACGACGCGTCACCTTCACCGCATATTTCACCTTAATACTATAACCAAGTAAGTCCGAATATTAAAAAACTTCGACTATTACGTGTAACTGCTAAATGCGTATGAAAAATAGTATTACTTTCTCTTTGCTGAGACTGGACGAGTCGTATTTCAGCAACTTCGAGCTTGCGAGTCCTCTCGCGTGAGGATATTGTTGAAAACGTAGATTCCCTTAGTTAATATTAAGGTGATTGCTGTAAGAATTATTTTATACGGATAGTTTGTAGAAACGTGAATCGCTGAAGATGCGATAGCTTCTGTTCAATGTCTTCTCTTCAAGAGACGATTAACCGATCGCGCACGGTTGGTTCTATCGAATTTCGTTGGTGTCTCAGTGACTCATCGTTGCCGTTCGGATATGCCGATAAAATAATAGTAGTTTCTTGTTCCTTAATAGGGGTGTTCGTTCTAACGTCTGCCATGATAGGGAGATGCATGATGCTTCGTTGTTCTCGACGAGATTCGCTCAAGTACTTCCTCGAGCTGACGAGCGAGAAACTTTGCCCGCGACCGCGAGAACTCAGATCCGACGACCGTCGTTGTCGTCTCCGCAATTTCTTCACGGCGCAGCACAACAGGTATCTGATGCAAATTCCGAAGTTGCTTGTGAACATAATTAGCATAGATACATCGATATATCGATGGAAATTGATTTATTGAGTTAGGTTAGCGTTCAAGAAGTCATTTTCGACGAGATTCACTCTTAAAGTTCAAGAGATGAGGATAATTTGATTCTCAGAGCATTTGAGAAAAACGAAAAATAACGTGTCTCCGAAGTCTTGACAGGCCTTGATTAAATGTTTCTCCAAACTTAAAATATTTCTTTCACGTGACATTAAGCTAGGGAATATAATTAAATTTTTTAATGCATAAGAACTCGATTAAAAATTCCCGTCTCGAGATTCATTGTCCCCTTTACGGAGCATTTAAATTCCAGTAAATATTTCTGCTCTTCTTATGCAGGAGGCATTCTTGGGATATAACGCGCGCCAAGTTGTTTCGATCTAATTTTTGCGATCGCAATATATTTTTCACACATTGAGCAACGCGTTAGCGACGGTTAAATTTTAAAAACCAAAAGAATGCAAAGATTATCGTGGTGTTTTTAATTTTTTTGCAGAATCATTTTCAAATTTAGTGATAAAATATATTGAGGAATTATTAAAGGTTATGTCTCTGGAGAGAGAAATGAAGAGAGATATTTCTCTCCATAGTACATCATTGTTCTGAACTATTATCGCTCGCGTCGCTGCTATAATATACTTAAAACATTAAGCTCACCTGTCAAAGTACTTCCTGAAAGTACCACTCACGCAATAGAGAGCGATGGGGTTGATGCAGCTGTTGGTGAACGCGAGGCAGAAACCCAAGATACGGAAATAGTGCCAGAAAGCGTTGTAGTCTTCCTCCGCGGTCGGATTAATGTAAAACCATAGCATGAAGACGTGTTGCGGGAAGAAACAAATGGCGAATATAATGACGAAGGCCATTACCATCTTCGCTACTTTCTTACGGGCTAGCACTTGCTTTACCTGAAATGAAACGTGCGTGGGCGCGCGAAGAGAAGTTCGTAGTGTTTACTGTGCGAGTCAACTCAGGGTTGCAATCATTTCATAAATCTTCGACCGAGATCTCGTGCACCGATAATGAGAGAAAATCTCGAGGAAATGGAAAGTAAGGCTTCGACAAGAGAAGCTTTTTTCCTCTATTGGCTCTTACACGTTACTGTTAAGATGGTTAAATTTATTTTCTCGGGAATCTTTTAAAATCTTATCAATCGCATATTAATCGGAACATTATCTACACGCATGTAAAATTAAAAAAAGAGATTAACCATACCAAAGCTGAGATAATGATATGTAAAATAGACAATTTCTTACAGTTGTGTGATAGCCAGAGAGATAACAATTACTCCAGACGTCTTACCTGGCCTTGCATCTCACCAGGTATATTTTTCGTACTGTGCATGAGGTGCCTAGCCATCAGCATATAAAAAACGGCGATGATGCCGAGAGGTATCATGTAGTAGATGAAAAAACGACATATCAGTATCGCTTTCGGGTAGTTCGGTCCAAATTCCTCGGGAAACGGATAGCACACCTTCAGTTGTACAATATCAAAATCGTTAGAGAGACGTTATTATAATGTTCCATTACGTGAGCAGGAACATCGTTCGCTTGGATAATCTCGCCGTAATACTGGCCGAATTCACGAGTAGTTATACATGCTCGGTCTAAAACAGGAATCTTTGTGAGCACGATGAAGGAACTTACACTAAAGCTCACATTTCGGTTGACCCTGAAGACTCTGATATACGAGAAGGAAGCCGGGATAGCGCACACTATAGCCAAGATCCAGATCAACACAGCGACGATCACGGTGAAGTGCGTAGCTCGTCTACCGCTACCTTGAACAAGTAAGCAAGTAATTTATGATAATTTAATTAGTCAGTAAATTAATTTTTTTTTAGAATCTTTTCAAATTTTCAAATTAATTTTAAAAAAAGCTAAATGTTAATCGATTTACATGTATGCGAAGACGAAGAAGAATGGCCGTACCAAAGTTGCGATAATTATAGTCAAAGTTAGCACTATTTACATATATTGAAAACGATTTGCGATATTATTTTTTTAATTCTAACCACCAGACTACTTTTACAGTTTAATGAAAAACAAAAATACGGTCAAAAGGACTTGTAGAAATATTGTAAAAATTTACAAAATCGTTGACTATCTAATTCAGAAGAAATTGACATATAAATGTATAATATATAATTTCTGTTAGTTGAAGTATATGTAGCTGACCTGTAAAGATTCGGCAAATATTGCACACGCTTTTTTTTTTCCTTAGTGCTTCTTTATTAGGCATCTTTTTAAAGATATAATGATTAAGTAACTTGAAATATTTATAATCAGTACGTAAAAATAAGAACAATACAGAAAAATACGGTAAAATCTGACGTCACGATTATTTTCTTTAGTAACGCATTCCTGTGCATCTATCGAGAGTATAGTCAGTCACGAAAAGGTTGCAACATTTTTTTTCGATAAGTTTCGCAACGCATGTCATATCTAATAGGAAAATATGTTTCTTGAGGATTATTAAGAAACAAATTTTCTTATTGGGACAATATGTTCAAAATTTATTAAAAAAAGAGCGTGACAACCATTTTTTAACTGACTATATGCATAATATATTAACAAATATATGCCTCAAACCAGCTCTACACAATGTGTGAGATATAGGCGAACGTAAGCAAACGTTGGAAATTATATTAATTACGTATGTTGGACGAATGTAACATATGTGATAATGTAACCAATGTAATATAATATATCATGATAAACATAAATAACATAACATATGTGATCAATACAATTTTTGACGTTTGTCTACATTTGCCACATTGTGTAGAGCCGGCTTAACGCGAACAGTTCCAGTCGAAAATAAATCAAAGCGCGGAAAACGATTATTTTTTTATAATTTTTTCAACATTACATAATGATTGATATTTGATTGATATTCTCCTGCTATAGTATCGAAGCTGTATATTGTAAGCAATATTTGTAAACATTTAGCGCGCGCACACACACATACACGTACACGATCTTCTTCATATCATAATAATCACAACCCTTTCTAATAGTAATGTCACGGACCTTCATCGTTGTTCTTCAACGTTAACTTTTATGCATCGCAACTCGAATAAACGGGAATTTTCTGGAGCTCGTTTAAAATGCACTCGCACATGTTTTAATTATTGAAAAAGGTTATCGTTATTCCGATCGTCGTTATATCTTCTATGGAGAAAGGAAACTCCCGCTCGCAATTTTTGCAGCTTCATTTGACTTTTATTTCCCGTTTCGCGCGGCTGCTTCCTGTGCGAGTCGAAGTAGTGAACTCGTAGAATACCTGTGACGTGTAATTTCCGCATGGGATCCACAATGGCGAAAAATCTGTCTGCCGAGAGAGCAGTTAACGTGAAAACGGAAACTCCGATGGAAATGTCCTTTACGCACTCGCCGAGTTTGCATAGTAAGAGCCCGAAAGGCCAGGAATCCAAAATGTAGACGATAGCGGTGAAGGGGACGCTTATTACTATCAGCTGCAAAATAGAATGAAAAACCACGTGGTCAGTCGGAAGGAAAAAGAAAATTATAATTGAAGGGATATAATTGCATAATTGCACATGATACTAGTTGACGTTTTCGGTTATTGCAATTGAAAAGACGTCAAGGCTCATCGTTTACACTCAGTTTGTAGCGTTAACATCTACTGAAACCTGCGGTCGAAATTCGCGCGCGGATAACTCGCTCAGCAATGTTATTATATTCGCACGAGCGGAGAGTCGATCGCATCCATCAATTTCTCCCTAAAATATCTTCCCGTTAAAAGACAGCGAATACCCGTCGTGTAGTTCGTAAAACATATCGCCACACGCAGCACGTGTCACATCGTATGAGAATATAAGCAATTTGTATGAAACGAGAAAAGAGCAATAAGTCTGAAGAGATGAGCGAGGATTGAGGGTACATCGAGAAGCTGTCACTTGAAATTTCAGGAATGATATACGAGACAGTTAATATTAGAGGCCAAGAACCTTGTATGCCGTGTTTAGCATTGTGGTTTTGGTATGCACGACGCTGCAGAGAGAAACGTGCAACGAACGTCCGTCTGCATTATATAGGATTTACCGCGAAACGGTGAAGCGAGTATCAACGGACTTACTGCTACTGTATTACACGCCGACGTTACGCCGAAACCGATCGATTTGGCTCTCCTACGTGTAACAAAACGCGCTAAGAATAACCGAAAACAACAGTTTGCGAAATGCGTTTGCAAAGAGTGATTTACGATGTATCCTGAACTAATGACAAATTACTCTATTGTACTCGTTAAAGTAACGTGTCACTCGGCAATGCGAACATTTTCGCACCTTTTCACGGGTGAAGCCAATAAATCGATCGCGCTCTTGAACCTAATAGAACGCGCAAAAACTTTAGGCGATCCACCGATCAGAATGCATTTACATTGAAAAAGATGTATCGCGTGGCATCGAGAAGCATTTTGCGAGGATGAGGATGAAGCGCGACAATAAGCTATTCGTCAAAAGTTTAGAAAGCGACGTCGTGACAAAACTTCCTAACATTTTATTTGTCTCTATGATAAATGAGCTAAACATGATGGATGCAATGTTATTCGTTCTCTGAATATTCTCAGACGCGTGTTTTTAATTTGTTTTATATCGCTATTTCCCGCCACTTTTCAAAAAAGTATTTGCATGCGTGTCAGAAATTTTACGATATCGTCGTCTACGCAAACATGAATTATTATGCTTTAATATATTAACGTTAAGCTCTCGATTGTATTCGAAATCTCGCATTTCGACAAATGGCTGTGGCCATTCTATGCAATTATACTTCATCCATTTATCAGTGATTTTCCTATCCCCGCATTCTCCTTTCCGCGATATTGAATTCACATGTGAAACGATGACTTGTTTGCTCGATGTTTAATTCACAAAAATACCGATGTAAGAAGCGATAACGCAAGCAACGGTGAACACGCGAAAAAAACAAACAAACATTTACTAAAACACTGTCCTCTTTGACAGACGCGTTCGCGTGGTTGCACAAATAGAGGAAAAGTACTAAAACCGCAATATCATTTTATTTTTAGACTTTGAAGCCCCGTTGAAGGCGTAAAATAAAAATTTATGTCCATGATTGCAAACCAGCGACGTTGCTTTACCAAAATATTACATATTTACTCACAAATAACTATTTTGTAAGATGTTTGAAGATTGACGCTTTTAGAAACTAGGCCCCAAAACCGACATACCTATGATACCTATAGAAAATTATTAAAATAAAAGCATTGAAATTACATTATTTTTACATTTGTACGCATTTGCAAACAGAAACTGCTACTTCTGTTCCACTTATTGTACAAAGTAAACGAAATTCAAGTTCTGTCCGTTACAGTTCGCTATTTTACAATCGAGAAAAATGGGTATGCCGGTTGTTCATACTTATGTCAGTTTTGACGTTTTCTTTCTATTTATCGGAATCTCAAACATTGGCGAGCTCAATTGACGGAGAGAAGCGATGCTAACGTAAAGACGAAACAAGCTATGTTATGTCGGATTTTCGGTAAAATGAGTCCAAACATTACGTGCCAATAAATCCCCGAGCGCCAGCGACAGAACGTACGTGTTGGGTACGTTCCTCATATTGGCGTGTCGCAGGATCGTGAGGGCGAGTACGCCGTTCCCGGTGAGACCGATCACCATGATCAGGAGTAAAACGATCGGCACGATGTACGTCTCAGGCCGATCACTGTAAGGTATGTATTCCTCCTCCTTATCGTTGGCCTCTCTCGTTACGACGTCGCCGATTACGTCGTTACTAAAGTTGGCTGTCGTGTAATTTGACGTTACTGCCGACAGTGTCGTCCGTGCTGTCACCATCAATACCGTGAACGAGGAGGACGGTGGGACACTCGTCGCGTATGGCCAGGACATGATCGACCGTCCCGATTCGAGAGTTCTTCTCGAGATATGCTTTTTCGTCCGTTAACGAAAATATGACTCTCTTTGCATTTTGATCCCCTTCCTCCTGTCGTCCCAGTTACAAAGCCTCCCGGCGACAGTTACACGCGGCAGCTGTAAAATAAAGAGGAGTGTTAGAATAACTTTTATAAAGAAAGCCCGAAAACAGGTTTGCTTAACACCGGGCGCATATCTCGCCGGGCGCTGACACGAAAAAAAAGTCTGTTCTTGCAGCGCAAACACATTCGAGATGATATTCGAGAAATAATGCCACCGATACCGCGAATAAGCTTCAACGCGTTCGCTACCCTGCTCTTTGGGTAGTTGATTCGTAAATTAATTTTTTTGAAACCTTTTTAAATTTAAATAGCATGTTAATAGAGACAACATCTATATAATGCAAAATTAGAAAAAAATTGACTATATCGAAGCTGAGGTAATTGAAATCAAAGTTAGCATCACTATTTACACAATTTTTATGTATCACAGGTATGAAAATCTTCAGATATCACGTTTTTAATGCTAGCGATCAAACTCTTACGGTTATAATGAAAAATGAGAAGACGATAAAGAGATGTGCAGAAATATTATTAAAAGATTTTCAAGATCTTTGACCATCTAGTTTTTTAGAAATTGACATATAAAGTTACAATTTCTGATAGCGATTGAAATATATGCTAACCTGTAAAGATTTGGCAATATCATACGCGCTATATTTCCCTTTGTATCTCTTTGTATCTCTTGGTTAGACATTTTTTTAAAGATAGAATGTTTACATAATTTTAAAGATCTATCTAATCAGTACGTAAAAATGTGAAAAGTACGGAAAATGCGAAAAATCCAAAGTCAGTTAAGTATTAATTATAATATGTGAACAACAAAAAGGTTTTATTAAGAGTAATAATTGCCATTTGTTACATTATTTTGTTAAATGTACAAATTATTTTGCCATAAGAATTGAGTGCTAACAACTAGTAAATGTAGAAAAACACTATTTTGCTCTAACAGCAAACTAACATGTTCTAAAAGGAGGTAAATCCACTCGGCAGAATGTTTTCTATTCTGACAACAAAACTATTTTTCCACAATTACAAATAATTACAAATAATTCGTTAATTTAATTATGCCAAAATTTAAATTGAATTTAATTTTGTCGCTGTCGCAACGAATATATAATAGCAACGATGGCTTCACTACACAATATTATTTTTCTCCATGTGAGAGATTGATTCGTCACTGGTATGTGCGACGTTGGCAGCTAACGTGTTAAATATTAAACGTTCGAAATTTGCAAAAAATATGTTAAAGTGATATTCTAAACGAATTATAAGCGCCTAAAATGATGAAAGTTGCAATAAACTCGCGTAATGCCACACTTCATCGTTGCTATAATACGTTGCGTTTGCGGGAAGTGTTAATGTAACACCGTGTATGCACTAGCTAACGCAGTATTTATCCGTGAACCAGATACGCACTCTAAATTATGATTATATTCAAACATGTCAAATCAGTGGTCAGTAAATAATCTCGATTATCGGTGAATTACAGTTCGGACATTTGCAACGAAATGTTCTACCGCCGATGCGTTTATCACGTACACCAAATAATCGTGACTAAGTGTTGTTCTGAAAATTACAATAGATTTGCACTTTATCCCGCAATTTGTTGTGCAGCTTCAAATGTTAAATGAACATCGCGCGAATCGCCGAATGTCGCGACGCATGGGCGCAATCTTCCATCGATATCTCGTTAGCCGTTAATCGAAACGTTTTACGCGACGACACAGAGAAATAGCACCGACACTGTGCGCAGCGGCATCAGTCAAGTAATAATACGTGTGTGTCTGCACGTCCGTCGTGCACATCCGCGATAACGATTGACGAACTGCCGAACCTTTTGCACTTTCGACACATCGCGATTTCCGATGAAAGGAAATCGAATCGATTGTTATGTAAAATTGGATTAGGAAACGTATAACAGTTTTTCGGTATTCTTTGAAAGAGAGAAGATGGAAGAAGAAAATAATTAAGTTACACGCGAGAAACTATCACTCATTATAGATGAGATTACAATATGTGAAATGTATCGAAAACTTTCCGATCATGGAGTTAATAAATCACGCCCTGTACACCCTCCCGCTTCGAAAACTTTAGCTGACCGCAAGCCATCGCGCCCTCGCAAATTTTTCCTCCACTTCTATATATATATATATATATCACTATATATCACTCGCTTCTTCGCCTTTTGCTCGCAATTCTATCGCGAACTATGTATAGCTTTATGATAGAAAGGATATCCGACATAAAAGTGGCGTGTTGCGCGGAGAAATTGCGTAAGAAAGGCATGGGAACCTTACGTCGAGCGTCAATCAAAAAAGTTTCGCCCTTTGAATCCTCGTCTCGCAGCTCTCGAGATAAACCTGTTTATATTTAACGTTGACATTTCACGATCTTTTCCTTTGTTCCTTCACGAACGTAATATCACGTACCTGTTGTGCGTATTTATACACGTTTAATATCTTCAGATCGCGCGGGATCTCTTACGTACGTGTTATGACGAACAATATTTTGTTCCATCAACACATGTATGTGCGTGTGCGTGCGCGCGCGCGCGCGCGCGTGTGTGTGTGTGTGTATGATAGCAAGATCTGCAGCTCGTTATTTGTAAATTGGATCTGAATTTAAAGATCGTAAACAAGGCCAGATACACTGGGGCACAATGATTTTATGACAGGCAAATGTACCACTTAATAGAGGTGCCGAAATGTCATTAATGCTATTACACTTCTATTTTGCCGTCGGCAGCGTCATACCGCGACTGTATGGCGACGCGATTGTCAATAAGGGTTGAATTAAAACTCGAATTCGTAGTGGCCTTCCACGCACGACCAATACGAATTTCGAAATTGAGTGGTAAACTTGCAAAGTTATTTTCTAGATCTGTCCATTTTATATTTCTTGAATTTTCCCACATATGACAAATATATAGGATGTTACGTGACATATTGTTCAAACTGAAAGAAGAATGTTTCTGATATAAATTAAAGTACGAAATGTCCTATAAACACGGCTCCAATTCAAAAAGATTATCCATCATCTGACTATTTTTATATCAAGTGTTTAGATAAAAGTTATATAAAAATAGTCAAAAAAAAGGTAACGGTTCAAATGCCAGTATTCATGAGAGTTGACCCGAGTTACTGAGCAGAAGAAAACTTAGAATCTTTCTTCTAAGACTTGCGTCTCAAATTTGTGCCTTAATTTATTTTTTTCAATTTCAATTATAATTGGCAAATATTAATTATTTCCTTTCATACATAATAATGATTTTTTTATTATACTAACAATATTAACGATTTATTTTGATGTGGAATGTACTTTATTTTTTCAAAGTATAAAAGAAATAATTGCCAGAAATTTCGTTTCATTCTGTTGCCTGTAACAAAGTTATTGCGTGTATGATAAGAATCTTCGATATTCGCGTTGCATATCACCTTTTGTTGCGTTGTTTTTAATGTCTGCCAGTGAATATGTCATTACAATGTTTTGTGAGGAACATAAGCATATATTATACAAGTATAAATCACAAGGATATCGTCCATAAAACATTTCGCTTTAGCTGTCCATATAATACAACTGAAATTTTATTATCAGACCTAGCTTTTAGCTGCGGGAGTTAATTTTTTTCCATGCAAGGAGAACGGAAATACAGCAAACGTAGTTGATTCGCGCGTCACCATTCGATTGCACGAATTGACGGCACTGCAGTGATTGCATTACCGATTCTCACGTGCAACTAATGGACGGATTAGAGAAAACGAGAGCGGCAGATCGCGGGCAAATTACGAGCTGATGAATTCGCACAGTAGAGAAACTAGATAATTCCTACGCCATGCGATTCGACGTGGAATTCCTAAAAGCAGCACAGTATCGGACTGCAAAGAATATCGCTCCTGTATATTTGGTCTCGAATTTCCATGACTATTATGGACCACCCTCGCAACCAATCGACGCGTACGAATACACACGAATACGTCCCTCCCGCTTTGACTTACCTGTCGCTAAATATCCCCGAGGAAAAGTGTCCTTTTATAGCGTGGAAGATTCGTGTGAGCGAGTCTCGCGATTGAATGGCGAAAGGTTCATTCGATTCGATGCATGTAAGGTGGATATCGGAAAAAGTCCGCAGCTTAAGTTAAATTGCGAGATCACCCGGTGATCTTTGCGAGAAATGACATGACTAAGCAAACGGTTTAAAGCGAAAGTATGCTCAGATATTTACCAACGCGAACTTAGCGAAAAGAAACGCGGAAGTACCGTAAAAGTTTCATCCGTTGCGCTCGTAATAAATTTGACAGTGTCTTTTATATAAAGTATCGGAAAACGTTTGTTCCCACTGAGGTGAAATTTCCTTTCTTTTCTTCTTCTCTTTTCTCTTTTTTATGTACGTATACGTTTAATTAAACTTCCTATATACTCGTTACTTGTTTCGCTATAATTTCCGCTTCGCATCGATTTCACTCTTCCTTTAGAAGAACATAATTGCGTTAAATGTGACTCTTCTTTTAAACCTTCCCGTGTTGGATTGTAATTACATTATAAAAATATCTGTCCGTGCGTCTTATACATTAGTACCGATTTATATGCCGATATCAAAGGAAACGTAAGGCCGGAATATTATTAGTGCGACTGGTCTGACCGTGACGCGAGTATAGTTAGTTTGTATTACGATAGCAGAGAATTATATGTCGATGAGATCTCGACAAGGTCTAATCCAATATTTAGACGAAAGGAGAATGACTAATGAATTCGAGTTCAAGTTCAAAGTATTGCGAGAAAATCATTGCAGATTTCCTCAATTATCTTATAATAATTCGCAATCAACAGATTATTCGATTTTTTTGCTTAAAGCGATGAAACAATATGTATAATCTCCTTTATGAGATATTTATTAGGAAAAACTTGTTAAAATAA